TGTAGATTGTATCAAGTAAAAAGACGTGACCGACAACATATTTATTGCAAATTGCCTTTGTCGACGACGATATGATCAACATGTGCGTTAGGACTTCTCATCCTCCACTTGAGTGAAATACTGCATGCTTTTAGTAGCGGTCAAATTTTCAAGCAATGTAGAAAGCGTAGACCAGCTTGCAAGTATCCAAATGCGCTTCTTTTCATGTAAGTTCCAAATGACTTTTTCCGTTGCAGGTATTGCTTCATTCTGCCGTAGTTTTGTTACAATTTTGCTGGTCATAACAATAGCACGACTGAGAATAAGCGTTGTCACTTGTTGATCTCCTAGAACGCGCCCTTGCGGATGGACGATGGGATGAGCAAGAGCGTCGTGGTTATGTTGGACAGACTGGACTTGTATCTTTTATACAATTTGGGCTTGTACTTCCTCTTCACCGATTATTTTGCTATTGATATTTCCTTTGAATTGACAGCCAGTGCTATAGCTGGATTTGTTGTGCTCGAGAGGATCTTAATGAAACTCCGGTTTGTTTCAATGGGAACACACAAGATTGAATCTCTTGATAATTCTAACTTTCTTATTACCAATCCTACGTTTGAGCTTAATCACGACAACGTAGCCTTGACTCAACGCGTAAGCTTGCATAGCCAATAGCGTAGCATCCAATATTGTGTGAGAGAACTTTGGTTGTGAAGAGACCTGGAACCATGAATCTGCATCAACGGTGGTATCATGGATGTGAGTTGAATTACGTATTGAACTTCCATCACGCATTATGAACCCATCACGCATTACCTAAATTTGTTTGGTCGGACATTCAATGTGATCATGCGCTATGATGGCAATCCAGTCAATTCTAATCCTACCCCATTCTCAACCAAATGGATTTCTCCATATTGAAATTCAAAGTGTTATTGTTTTGCTGCCATATGCTCCCATGCTATGCATTACTTCCGATTTTACCCCTTACTCATGTCCTTGGAAAAACTCTATCTCGGATTCAATCTCGCTCCCATGTTGTGCACTACTTACATGGTATCAAACAAAAGTTTGTTTCACTTTGATCAATCACTAAATTAGCCTAAATTGAGAGATAACTAACATTTCCCTATATTTTAATCAAATATATATACATGATTGTTTACAACAAAACAATGATATGAAACCACAAAATAGTCTTTGCGACGAAATTGTATGAATATTTAACATGGAAAGTAGCTTTGATTTCTTTGCCTTGTGTGCATATCAAACTTTGCAGTATTTTCTTTTATCCTTGAGTACAAAGGAGTTTATGAAAAAGATATGTCGTGGCTTTTAGCACTTGGAGTATCATAAAACGATTACTCACCGATTGCGAATAACAAGAAATCCCTCTTTTGTTAAACTTGCTTAGAATCTACAATGTGAACTCCACGGTTTCATCATATGATTAATTCGTCGTACTGTAAAACTTACACTAAGCCTTGGTGATTACCTTAATATCGATTACTGGAGAAATTTGCCTATAACTAGGAGGCGATTGCATTAAAATGTAGGATGTATATCTAGAATTACATTGCACTCATTAGAGCATAAAGTGTTTATCATGTCTGAACATTTAGTTTTTGATAAGGGAAAATAAAAATCCTTATGAAATCTGTCACAAAATGAGTTTATTATGAAAAAGTTGTGGATCCATGTGTAACATCTTTATTTTGATGTGTTAATTTTTAAATCTTTTCTCAAAATCCTCAAATGTGGATGGATGATGATAAAATACTATCTTAGGGAAATTTCATGATCTATTCTATTTACAATCAAGCATCTACTTTTGATAAGATTCATCCATTGCATAAAACTCACAATACACATTATAGAATAAAATGAACATAAAGAACAAGTTTACAAATTATCGAAGTAAAACGTTTATGATATGCTTACCACTCTCACGACCCAATTATTGCACCTACAATGAATAACAAGAGATAAAAATTATTTCTATTTGTTACTCAAAATTACAAAGATTGCAATGATAGGTACACTCCCGGGTGATTCGAATATTATCTCATAATTATCTTTGGTGTGTGTTTCAAAATGTGAATTCTTACCTTGGAAGATAGGGAGACAACCACATCTTGATACTATATATCACACAGCTTTGGATAGATCAATGAAGGGAATTGAAATCAAGGCTACAACGAATTGAAAGACAAACACAGAGGTCATCATATATCTATTTTTGCAAGGAACCCATGACAATTCAGTTCACATGAAAAAATACTAACTATGAGAATTTTCAAATTAAAAATCACTCCTGCTTTTCTTTCTTGACTTTAATAATTTTCCAAGAGTATCCTAGTAAAATCCTTCCAGAAAATTGAAGAGATTGGGACAAAATATTCCCCATCCATCATTATGATTTGAAAAATCATTCAAAAAGTATTGCTTGACGCTCACTCCAGTAGATTATCAATTTTTCACATAGTAGTCAAAAATAAAATCATGCTAGAGGCTGTGAATGCATCGTATATTCGTGGACTTAGCTAGCTACGGTACAGTAGGTAGCAGAAGGACCTTAAATCATATGAAATAAATAACGCTACTCTGCCTTTTACTGACAATCATGACTCAAAACTTGAACATACTGTGATAAGGAATTTTCCGAATTCTTTGTTTTCTCCATAGCCTATTAGTAATAGGCTATTACCAACGCAGATTTCAGGATTTCGAGATTGGACTGGTCAAAATTTGTCACTTCGTCAGGATGATACAACAGGCTTCTTTTAAAATCATGCGAAGGAAGAAAAAAACGGATAAGTTGCTGCAGCAACTATTAATGATCCTCTGTGATGCATTGCTTTATCTAAGCCACTCAGAGAATAAGATCTCATGAGGAGATCCTGTCATGCTTTGGTATCGAAAATAAACAGGACCCTGCGAATATTGAATGAATGATGACTTAGAACCAGCAACGGTGGCGATCGTAGAGTCAAGTTTTGTGATGAATTTGCGTTGGTAGCATATATAGATCTTGCCTTCATCTCCGTAAACTTGCTGAGAGATTCTCAATTTGAGAGCTGAATGCAAGTTGCGTATTCCAAATTATCGGCGCTATGCTCGCCTACAATGGTGAGTCGGAAGTGAAAATGTTCGTTCTTCTCTCGCACTTTCGAGTTTTCCTGCTCACTCGTTTCACATCCATCTCTTGATTTTAAACAATCTGGCAAACTATGCAAAGATGTTTGGAGAGCCCCAAGAGCAGACCAAGATCTTGGACTACTTCTACGGTGATACAAGGAAGCCTGTGAAGAGAAAAAAAATGTGAAAAAAAATGCAGATCGCAGTCCATCACCTGAGACGACTTGGCGAGGTTTTAAAAATGCAGACGTAGCAAAAATTGGAAATTTAATGCTTCATGGTGCTGACTTCTCCCACCATGAGCACAGTGTAGCTTGTGTGACCAACTGTCTCCTTGCTAGCAAAAAACCTGAGGGGACGCACAGCAGATGGGTGTGTAGCTCTCACATCGAGATCTATCGAAGGCTTGAGGGCATCTAGGTATTATAGAAATCAGGAGGGGACGACCATGCTAGCACCTAGTGTGTTGAGCCACCATGGTGGTGGTGTGCTTCCATCATTGTGGCTTGCGTAGGTATTACCGAGGAAGCAGGAATCAGCGAAATTCACAATTTGGCTGATTGTGTCAATAAATATTCATTGTTCAAGATGCTTCCAAAGGTATCATCAAGGTGACGGTATACTTACTAGCTTTCTATACACCAATCTGAAAATTGGTGCCAGCGAAGTCGGAAGCGAGTTTCTCAATAAAGCTTGCATCTGAAACTCGCACTTTCATACATTGTAGTGGCGGTCCGAGGAGGGAGGTTGCACAGAGGAATTTCGCGCCGAAATGCTTCCGGCTTCCGCCTTCGAGAACTGAAGTCGAAGACTCCGTTCGTCTCATGTCAGTCAATCTAGCGACAAAACCTTCGGTCTAAAGCTTTCAACTCATCCGACTTTCTGTCAGTAAGAGAACGGGCACGAGAACGAGCCCTGTGGAGGAAAGGTGGCGCAACCAGCCAAAACAGCATGGTCGATCTGCCAATGGCTGCCATTTTCACCCCACTCGAGCCAGAGGCCTTAGCCCAAACCTCCAATTTCTCATGCCTTTTCATTCAATTTGAGCTGTGGGAATAATAATGCAGTGGGAATGATAATGCAGGAAGAAAGAAGATCTTCTATCCGACCAGAAGAACCTTTTACACCTTCGAATGTGCGACCAGATCCTCCGCGCGCGAGTCCAAAATTGACAGTAAACATATCTCATAGCCTGCTTTTGTGGCGGATAAATTTCTCCGTCGCACATCAAAAGGCAACTCCCAATTCATACTGCAAAAAGACCAAAGAAAATTCGGTAAAACAATTCTGGAAGGGGCTGGGCTCGATGGAAGAACAACACTCTTGCCAGCGAATGCCTCAAATACGACACGACACGAAATCTCGCAAAAGGGATTGGACGACAAACGAAATCCCATTCCCGTGCCCAGCGCTCAGAAGGCGAAAGCTCCAGAAACTCGGAGCGACTGGGCCTGCCGCGGCCGCTGCCTTATCCACAAGCCGAATCATGCGAACGGAGTCATGATTGCCCTTTTGGACGGACGGACCGACGGATGGATAATAAAGCGCAGCGGGGGGGTGTTCGCCTTCCCGAGCCGCACGTGGCGCCCGTGCAGACGTGGACGAGAGAGAGAGAGAAGAGAGAGAGCGCCTGCCTGACCGAGTAAGTTGCCCCGCTGACCGACAGATGTCCGAGGCCAGGCGAGGCGCGGGCGAATGATCTAGTAACTTCCTCGCTTCCCTTCCTTTCCCTTCCCTTGGGGAGGAAGCGCGCCCCCGATTTGGCCGAGGAGGCCAGTCAATGTGCAGCGCGGAGCCGGTGGCGCTTTTGCTGCCCGTTTGTCTCGTCCTGTGGTCCAGGGGCTCGTTCGTAGCCTGCGCTTGCTCTTGTGCCGATAAACTTGGCTCCGCTGCTGCCTCCTTCTTGCGGCTCTCGCTTTCACTGCCGAAGAATTGGTCTGGCTCGAGCACGACACACGGACAGACAGATAGACAGACAGAGAAGCCCGGCCCTGCTTGCACCTCTCGTTGGGGATTTCTCTGGAACCTGCTTTTGCGCTCTTCGGGACGGCGAGCTCGTCCGGGATTGCGCTCTGCGAGGGTTGTTTCAGCGCTCGCGCTATCATTTTCGGTCGGGCGGAGGTGCGTGCGACGAGTGGCGGGTGGAGCCTGAGCGCCGTGTGTGGATGGAGATGTGAATTGGGAAATTGGACTTGATTTGAGGAGTGTCGGGAGCTTTAGGGTTTTAGGAATTTGCGCTTTAGGGTTTAGAGATTTGGCAGGGTGAGGATTTTTTGTGAGTAGCTATGGCGGTCGCGACGATGCCCGGCGCTTTGGCGTGCTCTTCTTTCACCGCTTTGTCGGCTTCTCGTGGTGTGTGCTCGCCTGCCCGCACCTCCTTGGCTCTGTCGGGGTCGAGGCCTATCACCTCGCTTGCTGCTCAAAGTTTCCGGGGCGTGACATTCAACCGAAGTTCTAGACTATGGCGACCGGTCATGGTTGCCCAGAAAGCTTCACAGACCGAAACTGAGGTGCTGTGGCTTTCTACCTGCTGTAATTTCATCGGTTTGACAATGTATGTTGTACAGTCGTAACGAAGCTGCCGAGAGCTTCTGCTCGTTCCAATATTTTTCGCTAATTTTTTTGTACTTCGGTGGCTGAATTCCCAAGATGCGAAGGTCTCCAAGAGAAGGGTGGTTATCTTGGGGACAATTCGATAAGACCCTGGAGAAACAGAATGACTACTTATAATTCTATTTTAATGCACAGAATTCTCAAGTCAGTACATAATTTTCAACTTCATATAAGAATAGCTTTGGTCTTCAGATGAATTTCTGAAGACTCTGACGGTAGACATTTGAATCATCCCGCTGTGTTTTTGGTTCCGAATCTGATACGTGGACATGCAGGAGGACGAAGAGGAGAAGGAAGTTGTCGAGGAGGAACCGGAAGAAACAAATGGTGTAGCGTACCCGACTCTTTTGCAGGAACTTAGAGATGCTTTGGCTGCAAATGATGAGGCCAGTATTGCCAGTCTAGAAGAACAGCTGAAGGCAATAGGAGAGGAAAGGGATTCGCTCGGTAAATTAGTTAACACTCTGACAGAGGAGATCCAGACAGGAAAGGAGCGGTTCCTTCGACTGAATGCTGACTTCGATAACTTCAGGAAGAGAGCTGATGCCGAGAAGTCGCAAATTTCTAACAACGTCAGGGGAGATGTTATTGAATCGCTGCTACCTATGGTGGATAATTTCGAGAGGGCTAAAGCTTCCATTAAGACAGAAACAGAGGGAGAGCAAAAGATTGATAGGAGCTATCAGAGTATCTACAAGCAGTTTGTAGAGATCATGAAAAGTCTTGGCGTGGTTGCCGTGGAGACTACTGGCAAGGCGTTTGACCCCAATGTAAGAACTGGTCGTCCATAGCGAGGACTCGGTGCTCTGTGCAAGGATCAAATTAGAATGAATATGAAAAGTAGAATTGCCTCCGAAAATTCGCAATGCTTAGTGTCTTTGAGGGCACGTGACTTCGGTGTGTATTTATCACGGCCTTATTGGCATGTTTCTTGAGGGCCGATACTGTCCCTAATTCAAGTTGTCCCTAATTCAAGTTGCGGTTAATTGGAACTGGCACTTTCCTGTTGGTGTGTTGTCGAGGTACATCGATCTGAACACTGACCTCTCTGTTTGTTTTGTAGTTGCATGAGGCGATCATGAGGGAAGAGTCTACCGAGTTCGAGGAGGGTATTGTGCTGCAAGAATTCCGACGTGGTTTTGTTATCGGAAGCAAGCTATTGAGGCCTGCTATGGTTAAAGTGTCAGCTGGACCCGGCCCAGAAAAGGAAGCTGCAGAGGCTGTAGTGGAGGAACCCTCTGAGGAAGTCATTGACGTCGAAGCCGAGTAGATGAAAAACCATCACCCTCTTTAGTTGATCTCCAGAATGCGACCAGCAGAAAGGTTGAGTTCTTAGAATTTTGAATGATCTGATGAATCACTCACTTATACGAAGAGTTGATTGCTCCTTGACAGAGTCTGATAGTTATCTGTTGTATACTAGGTCCAAGGGATCATGTGAGTGCAATGCAATGTGATACCTGGTGTGGACGACTAGATTTTGTTTCAATAATTATTTAATTTTTTTCCTCTTAGGGTGAAATGCCGAGGAACGAGGTATAGATTTAAACGTCAGGACAGTATGGAGCAATCAATAAAGGAAAAAACGGTGCCACGGAGCTAGAGCATTGCGAACACTAGGTTTTGTTTGGCTGTTCAGAGGGTCTGGTTGAAGTATCAAATCCCACCAGTTGAGTGCAGAAACGAATAAAAAGAATCCATGCTTTTTGAAACCATCGTTATCTCAATAAAATTCAAGCACGCCTGAGAAATTCTAGAACATTTCATATTTGCATGTACCTCATTGAACAGAAACTCCTGCAAGCAGATAGACGACTAATGGTCAAATTAGAGGATCTCCTGCTTTACGTCTCTCATCTGCTAGAAGTCTCGCGCATGAGACGTATGATGCGACTTGTACGAATTATGGACGATAAAGCAGCTCGAATGGACACGAAATTCAGCTCTATTGCCGCAGATTATTTACCATTCTCTAAGCGCACACCGATTTCTTCCCTTCACAGTCAACTCTATAAAACCTGCGAAAGATTGTAGTTCCCACTAACGGATACGACAAAGTCTTGTCAACCACATTTCTATCACGGAGATTATTGAAAGCTGCGATCATAGTAAGGCAATATGATCATCAGCTTTAAGTCAGCTAGAAGTAAACGAAGAAAGAGAAATGCAATAGTGTCCATGCCACGACACGCCAAAACGCAATCGTCAATTTAAGAAGCTGCCAAACACATGACTCTGAACTCCTGCAAACAGGAAAAAAGTGAATCTCCAATCGCCAATGGTTAAGTTTTTCTTCCGAGGCAGAGGAAAGGAACTATTGGGACGAGGAACTAATTCAGTACATAAACGATAAGGGGATGACGGGAAATTCTCAAGAAAACCTCTGAAGCTCATCAGGTATCAAGTAGGACACCATGTCCTACTAACACTTTCTCTTCCTTACGTACCACCGTGGACATGGACAAGAACATTGACGATATTCTAGTCCACGAGCAGATCTCTTGCACATCCATAATCCTTCAAGCAACAAAGCGTATGGAGTTGGCACGGTCAAACATACGACAACAGTGACATTCACGTGAGATGGTTTTCATGGAAACCCATGAACAGAAAAGATAGAGGACCTGCTTCTTGCTCTACAGATGAGGATGACCGGGTTGTATCTCAACTTATGACCTGCTGCAGTCGGTGCCGACTATCTTACTCATACTAACGCCAGGACTCGTCGTTCCTATTTGCGCTGCTGAGTACAGCCCGAACGTGGTAGTACGCCCGCAGCTGCAGAATGTCGTAACCGAGTGAATTCTCAAAGAAGTTCCTGACAGAAAAAGCCATGCCATGCCGAATATTGCAGTACGAGGGAACGCTCGGCTGTCGGCCCTCTGCCTGCTACCGACCTTGGACTATACTGAATCTGCTGCAGGGATACACAATCGAACGACGTGCTCACAGCAGCTTTGAGATAAAATCTGCAACAGCCCAAGAAAGCAAGAGAACAGAGGCCGCAATGGCGCAAACCTCAACAAAAATCTGTCTGGAGACATAAATAACTACGTACTGGACACTTCAAATCGATCACGAATCCACGGTGCATCGGATTCTTCCCGAGTCGAGGGAAATTTATCTACACACGTCTGTCCTTTAACCGAGATATGTTGTGATCGCGGAACATTTTTTGGTTCTCTCCACAAACGTGATATTGCACATGAGAAACCTACGTTTTTATTCCATTTGTAAGGATAACGTTATATATTTTACTATTATATACTCCCTGACATCAATGGGGATGTAGCTCAGATGGTAGAGCGCTCGCTTAGCATGCGAGAGGCACGGGGATCGATACCCCGCATCTCCACACTTTGATGGTGCTCACGCATCTTTTGCTTCCGCGTTCTCAAGTTCTCTTCGCCAGGTAAACGACCACTTGCCCCAAATTTTAGAAAACAGTCCATCACACAGCTTATAACATTGAAACCATGTCATACCTGTCCCCTCTATAATCACATCCTCGTTAAAGTTCACATGTGTTTATAACCTTGTTACAATAAAAAAAAAAAAACTCTTTAAAAAAATGAAAAACTTCATTTAAAAAGTTATAGTCTTTTTTATTACTGCTAAAATATACACAAATTATATATAATTGTATCACACGCATCCTAGAGTTGCCTGCATTTGTTAAAGAAAAATATCTTTTATTTAATTTGCTGACAAAGAGGAAAATTTACACAATCTCAATCTATTTGTAATCATGAAATTAACCTAGAATATTTTAAAATTGATTTCTTTATTTGTCAGTTTTTGAGAAGTTTTATATTATATTTCATACCTGAAATTCATTATTATCCGTACAAAGCTCTTGCAGATAGCATTGTTTCATGCAGTTGTTCAATAAAATTTTATATAATTTGTAAAGATATATTCCACTGATGAAAATTTAATAATAGATAGATAAAGTATACAATACTTAAACTAATAAATTAGTGATTTTTTTTTCATAATTATGTCATGCACTACATTTTAGATCAAATTTTTTATTAAGTTTAATTCGATGATTTTATTTATTCTTTTCATTAATATAAATTATATTTTTATTATAAAAATTCATAATATATCTTCACAGAAGAATATAAATAATAGTTCATATGTGAGCAGCTAATCACACCAGGTGTGTTGAAGCGAACAAGAATATCTTTGCTCGTCATTATGGATTACTTTTTTAGAATAAAGTATAAAATATTTATAAATCAAACGACATATCTTCAGAAAACATATAAAAAAAATTAGTCTATAATTTAGTCGGAAAACCATGTTGATTTTTAAAGTAAATGACATAAGTGAAAGATTTTCATTGAAATATATATCAACTCTCTAGCAACTCTAATTACCAAATTGTCTGTTTCAATGTTTGGTATGTTAGAAAATAGATACTTTTCTAAAGTTCACGTCAAATTGATCTCTTGTTGAAGATCTTCCAAATAGATATTGTACGTTCAAATCTGCATTTTATCACCTGTAGTTCTCTATAATTCTCGAATTTTCAAGAAATTATTTCAACTTACTTCTTATTCACAGCATCTATTTTTGTCCCATTTTATGCAATTTTATATAAATTAAAAAATAACTTAAGTGTGGATTTTTAAATCCAAATTCATAACTTATTTAAATGTATTCTAACATTTTTTAATTAGATTCATAGTAATATAGGAATATATGGGATACTAATTTTGAATAGAGTGTTGACTAAATTACATGTGTAGATGAAAATCCAACACATTCATTTATTGATGCATAATGATATTCTTTAGTTCGATATTATCGTGAATGTTATGCCAAACGCAATACCTTCAATTTTAAAATTTGGTGAGAAAAGTAGAACTGATTGTTCCTCTAAGCCTTTGGGAAATTTTCACTGAGTATTCATTTCACTGTTATTGCATTCAGTTTGTTAGTTGTTGCACTTGCATATAAAATTAGCAAGTTTGCTATATTCAGTGGAGGATTGAAGTTGGTATGAACACAGCGTAAATGAACTCTGGAAATCGATTGTATTCACATTCTATTGAGGTTGTCGGTAAAATCCAACTTCTAGAAGTTTAAGCACTTGTTCATTGTGATCTAGAAGCATATGATCTTATTTTCATCCTATGAATGTCTAAGTTTGACACACCATCACATTGTTTGAATGATGAAGTCTGAATGAGCATGATAGTGAACTGTTGGTTCACTATTAGAAAGTAAATAAACGCTCATATGGAGATTTGGATGGTATGCCAATAGAATAACTATAAGTTATATATTTTTCTAAGCCAAGCTGCGAATGATGAATAACCTTTTAATATTCTGAGTTAGTCTATGCAGAAGAAACTATTTCAATTTTAAGCTTACATCACAAGTAAACATGAACAAGCTGAAGAGACGAAGTGCACGCTACTCGTCCCCTTGCTCGTTCCCTCGTTCCCTCGACCCCCTCGCTCGCTCGCGCCTTCGTTTCCCCGTCGTGAGCCGCGACGCTTCTGAAATCCTCTTTCCTCCATCAGAAGCTCGCTCACTCCCGCGACGCTACTCACGAACCCACAAACGCGACGAAGTATCGCCAGGGAGTCGATTTTTCTCAGGACGACGGCCGAGGATCGACATTCGGGAGCTAGAATTTTGCGCAGAGCTCAGACTGATTTTTTCGACCGATTATCGATTTCGTTGGACTTGTGAACGAGCGCGAGGGAGGGAGGAGAGAGGAGAAACATGGCAGCGGTGGAGGAAGAGGAGACGTACGAGGAGTACGTCCCCGTGAGGAAGAGGAGGATGATGGAGGCGCAGAAGATTTTGCAGCGCAAAGGGAGAGGCGTGGTTTCGGCGACCACGGACCCGAACGAGAATGGGAAGACCGAAGCGAAACCTAGTCTGCTCGTTAAAGCTTCTCAGCTGAAGAAGGATGCTCCGGAAGTTAGTGCCACGGAGCAGATGGTTCGGCAGGAATTGGAAATGCTCGAGAGGGTTTCTGAGAGGAAGAATTTGATGTCCGTCCGCGAGCTCGCCAAGGGCATCTCGTACACGGAGCCCATGAAAACTAGTTGGAAGCCTCCTTCGCATATTAGAAATTTGACCGAGAAAGAGAGTGATGAGATTCGTAAGCAGTGGCACATTCTCGTGGAGGGAGACGAAATTCCTGCGCCTATTAAGAATTTTAAAGATATGAGATTTCCGGACCCTATTTTGAAGAAATTGAAGGCCAAAGGTATCACTCGCCCCACTCCCATTCAGGTGCAGGGGCTCCCAGTTATTTTGTCCGGCAGAGATATGATAGGTATCGCCTTCACAGGTTCTGGAAAAACGCTGGTTTTTGTCCTCCCGTTGATTATGCTGGCCCTTCAGGAAGAATCCCGGATGGGACTCGGTCCGGGACAGGGCCCTTTGGGTCTCGTTGTGTGTCCGTCCCGCGAGTTGGCTCGGCAGACATTTGATGTCGTGGAAGAGTTTACTGCCGTGCTCAGAGAAAAGGGGCACCCAGAGTTACGGTCCATGTTGTGCATTGGAGGAATCGACATGAGGTCTCAGCTCGAGGTTGTCAAAAGAGGAGTCCACATTGTAGTAGCCACTCCCGGGCGCCTGAAAGATATGCTCGCTAAGAAAAAAATGACTCTGGATTTGTGCAAGTACCTGACTCTTGACGAGGCCGATCGGCTCATAGATTTAGGGTTCGAAGAGGACATTCGGGAAGTTTTTGATCACTTCAAGGCACAAAGGCAAACTCTTCTGTTTTCGGCAACTATGCCCAAGAAGATTCAAAACTTCGCCAAGAGTGCGCTGGTGAAGCCTGTAATAGTGAATGTTGGTAGGGCAGGTGCAGCGAATCTCGACGTTATACAAGAGGTCGAATACGTGAAGGCCGAGGCGAAGATTGTATATTTGTTGGAGTGTCTTCAGAAAACTCCACCCCCAGTTCTTATTTTTTGCGAGAACAAGGCGGACGTGGATGATATTCATGAGTACTTGCTACTCAAGGGAGTCGAGGCAGTCGCAATCCACGGAGGGAAAGATCAGGAAGAGCGAGAATTTGCTATTGCATCGTTCAAGGCGGGAAAGAAGGACGTGCTGGTGGCTACCGATGTCGCCTCGAAGGGTCTGGATTTTCCTGACATACAGCATGTCATAAACTACGACATGCCTGCCGAGATTGAAAACTATGTCCACAGAATAGGACGTACTGGACGTTGTGGGAAGACAGGTATAGCTACATCTTTCATCAACAAGAACCAAAGTGAGACCATTCTACTGGATCTGAAGCATCTATTGAAGGAAGCCAAACAAAGGATACCGCCTGTTTTGGCTACCCTCGATGATCCCATGGAGGAGGCAGAAGAGCTTGCAAAAGCCAGCGGTGTATCTGGTTGTGCATATTGTGGAGGTCTTGGACATCGTATTAGTGAGTGTCCCAAGTTGGAACACCAAAAGAGTCAGGCAATTGCTGGTACAAGACGGGACTACTTTGGCTCTGGAGGTTATGGAGGCGAGATTTAAGACATGCCTTTTCGTAATGTTCCGATGATTCATTTCCATCTTTGCTTCTCGAGTCTTGGAAGGACTCGTTGGTCGGCAAGTGATGCCGGTAAGTGTTCCATGAAGTCCATCTTATTTTTTAGTATCTCGATACCTTGGAATTACGGAACCAAATTGATGGTTCCATTGTATCATCTCAAGGTACCTGACCTCTGCATAACAAGACGGCACTGTCTTGGCTTGGTCGAGTGCCTCGTAAAGGGCTCTTAGTTCACGCTGAGTTTTGACGGAATGAGTTGTGTAAACTAGTGTACTTTATTCTGATGTTTATACTGGTGACGATGATTGCCTCTTTATAAGGTAAAAAGTCAAGGTTGGAATATACATCTTCTTTGTGCTCATAGGTATGGTTTTAACTGGCTATGATCTGAAACGGCTCTACAAGATTCCATGTTCTCATAAATTTATTTTCTCCTTGTGGTTCTTCAGATCCTTTCTTCGTCGGTTAATTGGGCTACAGGTACATCCTGATGTATAATCTTCTGTCGTCTGCTTGTTATCAAACTGTGTCTTGGTTGAGCCAGTGGTGTTCGTCATGCTATTTTTTAGCTTCTTCAGCTTGTGCTCCCGATGTTGAGCTGACAAGGAATTTGGCATTCTGCTTTTGCTTCTCTAGTTGACTGTAGGTATGGAAAGCAGCATATTTTTGCCTGTCAAAGCTCTAGAAGCAGCCATCGTCGGTTGTGTCGAAGTTTAAGGTAGAGACATGGTTCACAAAGTAGCTCGTATTGTTCTCGGAGGATCGATGAGCGGCACTCTGCAGTTAAGTTGGCGTTTATCAAACCGGCCTCTCATTAGGACTAGTAGATACGATCTGTGTCCTGGGTGGAGGACGATATATCGAGTAAGGAGATTTTTGTGAGACTTTTCTACACAGGACACTTCGTAGGACAGACGCCTCCGTGAAATCTATCGTGCTGCATGTCCCTCCACCTTGAAAGTTTCATGATTCTGGTGACTTGGATGAGGATGTTAAGTCAGCACTTGACAGTTTCAGACTTTGGCTCCAGACTTGTGATTTGCATAGAATCTAGACCTCTGGTGACAGTGTATTTTTGTAGTCAGATATCAAAACCTGAAGAAACGTTCTTCAACCTTTAGTGTACATCACCTAGATTGCATAACAAGTCCGCACCGGTCTAATTATTTACCTGACTGTACTATCAAGCCTTGTAGAACAGAGTCAATAAGGTGAGTCTTCTGCGATGGTACACGATGGACTGGAAGTGGCAAATATATCACTGTTGATCTTCCTGCAAAAGCAATATAGTCCATCCGTGCAGTTGGTTCCCACTACTAGCAAAGTTTGCGATTTGTACAATTTTCTTTATATACGAGAACGGTGGTCGCCTTTTGGGATCCAGAAAATCCAGAGTACTCTGTTTGTGGTGTAAAGAATACGGATACTACAATACTGCGTTGACGATCTCGGGGTCAGAGGCCTTGTTCGTCGCCAGAGTTGTCAGGAATTGTTGATCATAGGGAGGGATTGATATTCATACGATTCAAGGAAGAGGACATGGCCCATGAGCAGTTCCTTACCGCTCGAAGTGTGAGGAAAGAATCCTTTGTCGACATTTTAGACTCGATGAACCCTTTGTGTGGTTTGTGGAATGGGAGGGAAAGATTGATCAACATACGAAGTCTCAAAACCTGCGCCAGTCTTAATTATCTTGAATTTTTAATAAGTTTCAAGTCTTTCGACAACCAATGATTCCCTCTTATGCCTTTTCGCCCAAAATATATCCAGGAACACCCGATTTTTAACTATCAAATATCGTCATATGCTGAGTTATCAATAATTCGTGTTTGAGTTGTATCAGTTTATGTGTTGAACCATTCAAGATCTCAAATAAAATATCCATATTTAGTTCTTGTTGAGAATTTCATTTGATTTTGATGCTTGTGTGTGATAATGTTTGCAAGTCTCGTCATGATCTTAAATACTTCCAACTCAAAGAACTTGTTATGTTGTAGAGCAATTACTCATGACTCACCATGAAAAGTACTACAATTGATCTCACTTACAGTTATGTGTAAAAATATATTCATACAAGATGATCATATTTATGATCAAAAAACTTTTGTGAAGAAGGTCAAAATTAAGTACGTACTACAGTAAACATTCGCTTAACTCCGCATCCCAATTAATCCGCACTTCGCTTAACTCCGCATCCCAATTAATCCGCACTTCACAACGCAAAATTCTTGATCAATTCTCAAGAGTGTATTTTACAAAAAATCTCCTCGAGCAAAATAGAGGCTGATGTCTCACTTGGCTGCGATGCAAATGCTCCAAATCTACTTCAGCAAAATAGAAGCTGCTGTAGACAATAGTCACCTACAAAACCACCTGCCTATCGTCGAAGCAAGTGTAGAGCTTTATGAAGGCAGTGAGTGAGTGTGCTGGCGCCCCTCTACCTCCTCACTGGGAGACGATCTCAAACCCTGCTCGCAGCAGAGCGGAGGCCACGCCAGGAGTTGGAAGAGGGAGGCAGGAGTATAAACGAGCATACGCTAACCCTGAGCAAGCGGGGTTGATTAGGCTTCTTCAACTTTGGCTTGAGCTTCATGACTGAAGGCAGGATGGGAGGAAGAGAGAAATGAACTGACGCACGTAGGTTGAGAGAAGTTAAGTCCGCACCAGACCTCCCAGATCAGTAAACAGTAAACATAGTGTTTACCGGAGAGTAAACAATCGCTTAAGTCCGCAACTTGATCCGGGAGGATCAAGTTGCGGACTTAAGCGAATGTTTACTGTAATCTATAATTATAATATTTTGTCAATCAATATTTGTATCATCAACTATCCAGTTGCAGATGCAAGTGGAATCTCTTGATGATACTAAATTATTTTTCAATCAGCATTAATGTCATTAATTTTTTTAATTGCTTCATGCCTCCACTATTCAATGCTTCTGTTATCAAATTGTTTAAAACTATTATTCCTTTTTTGATACTGTGGTTTTAAATACAAAACTAGATAAGATTTAATTATTTGGATACAATCCCATTTCAATTTTTGTGGAATCAAAAGTTAAATTAAATTATAGAAGTCAAAATTTATTTTTTCGCTGTATAAATATTAATAGTCAAATAAAAATGTTGACTTTCAAATTGTTCAACTGTTATCTTATGTTAATTTGCATCGTTTTAGAGTTTTTTTTTGTTGATTATTAATTTTGGAAGTTTAATTGTGCAAACTTTCACAATTACATCTTCGCATTACACCAGAAAATCAAATGTCAGATCAAAATGTTTAAACTTTTATATTCTTATTGTATATTCTTGTTTGTCATGATTGATACCACTTATCAAACTCTTTGATTTTTCAACATTGTTGATTGTTGCTTTAAGCTCGCATTAATTGCTTCCTACCAACTTGTTTACTGTAAGATTGCCAACTTAAATTCTAGTCAAATAATTTAATCTTTTTTTAGTTTAAATTTTTTTATGTCAACGCTTTTTTTACAATGTTGTTCACACATCTTCAAGTTTTGATTACAGTTTGTGATTTCTACAAACTCAAAACATTGTTTATGTACAAAACTCTCTAATACGAACAAAAATATGTGTCATAAGCTCTGTATATTTCGTATTTCGTTGCCATAAGGTTTTGTATTTCAGTTTTGCAATTGAAGTATATTTAAGTCTCTTAAATATGTGTTTCAGCTGAATCTAGGTCTGCACTATTATTTAGTTCAATTGCAAATTTTAGTCTTTTGAACAAAATGCAAAACGAAGAAGTCTTGCATCTTCGAGCTTCAACTTCATTCCTTGAGACATGTAAAGGAAGAGACGAGCCGGCTTGTGGAATCATCGTTGCGGTCATTCTGAAACCTGGACACTAGACGGAATGGTGTCGATGAGGTCTACCATTGACTTGATGTAGCCTCCCAACCCTCGGAGGCATCTCAAAATGACTCAAAATTGCATGGCATTCCGTGCATTACCAGCATAGACTCAGCAAATATTGTTCTTGGTTTTGCAGTCCATCAAATGTTGACCTGGAGAACGGACTGACCCATATCATTTGCTACAATACTCAACACCAATGAATTGCACTGAATCTAAACTCCTATGGATAACACTACACTTATTTTGATCATTTGCTACAATTTTCAATTCTGATGGAATGCACTGAATCTGAACTCTGATGAATTGCACTGAATCAGTTTTGATAATTTGATGCAATTTTCAACTTTGATACATTGCACATTGCTCTAAACCCGCTGCAAAGCGTACATGTAAAGCTAGAGCTCAGAAGACGCCATTTCAATAAAAACACCTCTTACAATATGGTCTATGCATTGCATCTTTTGATACTCAATTCTCCAAAGTTGTTTTTTGTCGTAAAGTTTGTGTATGTTTTGAAAATGAAGTATTGACTAAAAAATCGTTAACATCTTGGACATTTGAGAGTAAAACTTTCAAAACCAAACACTACATGCGGCAACATCATTGCATCAATCACCAAGTCAGATTAAGTAATATCAAAAGCTCTCACTAAAATAGAAGTCACATTATTTTGATGTTTCTGTCAAACATGCCAAAACTATAGGTCATTATATGAAAAATCAATATGCCACAACGACTTTTGTCATTAGAGTCTCAATTTTGTAGGTGATTTATTGATAAATTGTTTTGGCATGAAAATGATTCGAATGAACAATTTCAAACAAATGCAATGTTACTTTTTAAACCAACTAAAGATGACAATTTTTGTATACAAATCAGTCCAACAAAGCAGTTTAAATTGGTAATGCATTTTGTTGCTTGAACAATGTTCTTTTTGATGGCGGTTGATGACAAGCAAGACGTGAAATAGATACGTTACAAATTCAAACTAGTATCTGCAATGAGTGTATGTTTTTTTACTATGTTAAAAATGCATGCGCAATATCAATTGAGAACATTGCACAAATTTTGCACTCCAAATGGACATTCTCTGTGATCTTTGATGTATCTTTTGATCTGCAAGAAATATCTTGCACTGATCTTGAGTTTGATTTTATCAAAAATCACTTTTTGAAAAATTTAACATTAATATGATTTTTTTTGGGTCAAAATACTTGATTGACAATGTTCAGCATGTTTTCAAAGTTGTTTAATGAAGTCTGTTATGAAAGGAACAAATTAATTGGATGTTAAACGTATGGTGATTCTAATATGACCAGGCAGTTATCTAGAGTTGTCACATGTTTTCAATAGCTAGTTAGACCATATTTCATTGGTGGTTGTTGTATGTTACATCATATCTATATTGTGATGCAAAAGGTTTAAATACATAAATTGTGGTTTTCATAAAATTTTTATCTCATTGATTTTTTTTCCTACCTTGTCAACACATTTATATTCACAGAATGCAAATTGTTTGGACAAATTTGTCTGATGTGATTTGATTTCACACTTATCACAATTTCTAATCAAAGATGATTGAAAATCATGGCTTATATTAATCAAAATAATTCTTCTCAACGAATTCTTGAGATGCTCACATCGTCTTGGTGGATTTTTATTGGGATTTCAAGTCATTCCAGCGAATGACTAGAAAATTTACAAGTACGAAGAACCACATTGCAGCACCAGAATCAATTCTTCAATCTTTGCTAACTAGTTTACACCGATTTGACTTTATAGGTGTTACCAAGTGGACAAGATCATTACATTTGAGCAATGGCAGATTAGTCATGTCAATTTGATCGGGTTAATTCAAGATCAAAGTCTCTTTGCTATCCAATCGTTGATAGAATTGGACTCACATTCAAGAAATCTTGCTTGTAGTTGGCAATAATCTGTTAATAATCTGCAATTTGAATCCACTTGAAACCACATGGTATCAGATCAACAAGACGAGTTCTAGCATTTTGCCTCCTTGCTTAAGTCAAAGAACTTATAGCCCTAAAACATGAGTTTTGAATTGTCAAGATTGGTTGGCAACTTTTTCTCAACAAGATTTCATTGAAGAAGTTGTGAAACAACACAATCAACTTTTGTTTGCTATGCAATGTGAACACCGACCTTACACTACTATAAAATGGTTTAAAATCTCATTTTTTTTGCCAAGCTTGGAACATGCCAATGATTTAGGACAGACTTCCTCAACTTATCGTCTTCTTTGGGAAATTAAACTATCCAATTTCGAACACTCCCGATGTCGAAAACACTGTATAACTTTTCAGAGAGAGGAGGAAAAGTACCTAAGTAGATAAAAATAACATCAATATTCCTAAATGGAGGAATAAGTTTAGATCAATTTCAAGAGTTGTTTGAAAAAGAAGAAATATTCCTGTCAAACTACGTTCTTTTTTTGTTAAATTATAATGACAATCTTTATTTAGTCTAAGTGCAGAATACATGGAATATGGTCATGACGCTTCTGTCAAAGAACAATTGAAACAGTTGTTTAACATCAAATGGGGACTTCATCAGGATAATGGTTATTACAGTTTTTTGTCATATACAGTATTTCGCCAGTATAATCGTGCAGTACTATAATGTAAGAAGTTTTCAGACCCACAAATATAGTAGTAAGTGATAAGTGTCGTGCCCGAAATCATCGTTTCATTTCAAGATTGGTCTTTACAAAGTTTAGAAATTATCTTACATTGCTTCCAAAAGACAAATCATACTCTGTAGAAGGAAATCTCACACCCTTTTCTTCTCCAGTTTAGCTCGAAATACATCGAGTTACTAATATCGCCTTGAACCATACAATACAACTTGTCACCATCGTCCAGCTGGTGTTGAAATGCAAGCCACTTTTGGGTACAGATCCTTTGAGGCTTGGTACTACTCACTTACAAAGCGCAAAGAAAGCGTTTGGTTGCCAAGAGCCAATGAAAGGGGACCCGTCACAACTCGGAATGAATAAGGAAAACCAGAGTAGATATCTCCAGCCAAATTGGCTAAACGGACTGCAGACTGACAAACAAAATTAATTTCTGGGCTGAAAGCGGAGCCTAGGCATGTCATGAATACATACTGTAGGTTGGACATCGAGGTCGCTGTGTAGGGTCAACACGTCGCTGCGATCAAGCACAGTCAGCCAAGATATGATCGGGAAAAAGCCACACCTCGAAGGGCATGATGAGATATTTACTAGAATTTATAGCAAAAGCTCAAGGGCTCACCATTCGGGAGGACTTTCCAAAAGAATACAAGTGAGTCTCAGAAATATACACTGTCATATTGAACACAGTATGACACTGCTGCTTGACTCTCATACCTTATACAAAGTCCCAAAGGGCTCCTTCCTAAATGATGAAGAATTTCAATCCCTTGACCTTATTTAAAATACAAGCTGCACGATTAGTCGAGCACCTAACATTGATCAAAACTTCGTGTCAACTGAACTAATGGTCCACATCATGACTAGATTCTAGGAACAACAGATGGCTCCAATCAATCTAGCTCACAGAAATAATGCGAGGCACCATAATGGCTTCCCATCATAAATACACTGCTTGACGAGATCACTTCACCATGCTGATGGAGTGTCGTCAACAAGGCCCTGAGCCATTAGTATACCCCTGAGATGACTTCTGGCGCCCATCTGACAATAGTACAATTAATTTAAACCATGAGCTCAACAAGTTAAAAGGACTTTCCTTCAGAAATGGTTCTCCTGCCAATCAGCTTTGCATGCTCTCTCACCGTGAGGCACGAGGCGAAATAGAGACACACAGGCCAAGCGACTAGGCCTTCGCCGGTTGATTGATCAATTGTGTGAAGTTCCTAATAATTTTACACGGATCTGATTTGTACATAACGAAACGTCGTGAAGAGGTAGCGAGGATGACAGTTGGAAAAAGCATGACAGAACACAAAAAAAAGCCAACAGAGTTGAACTTGGAGAGCTAAAAGTTTGTGCTTTCATTAACATGCGTCTTGCTGCTGGTAAATTTCTGATACAGAGGCATGTTAAAGGGCCCCAGAAAAGCTTTTAAATCACTGGATAATCATATAACACAAAGGAACCAAGCTGCTGCTGATACACAGTTTTCATCATGAAGGACAGCAACTCCGAGGAAATATTACAGCAGGGAAAGTCACCGAATTCAAGGGAAACACATCGACTTTACGAAGGATGGACTTTGATCTCTACACCTCCACGGCTCTTACCAGTCAAGGTACTTTTCGATCGTTGCGGTCAACGTAGACTTAGGTACAGCACCTATGACGGTATCCTTCTTCTCTCCTCTCTTGAAGATCATAACGGTGGGAATGCTTCGAATTCCGTACTCGGTGGCGATGTAAGGGCTCTCATCCGTATTGAGTTTCAAACACCTGATCTTGCCCGCGTACTGCCTTGCGAGTTCATCAATGATCGGAGCAATCATTCGGCAGGGACCGCACCATGGAGCCCAGAAATCGACCAGGACGGGGACGTCGCTCTCGAGCACCAGCTTTTGGAAAGTTTGATCGGAAACGACACCAGCTGCCACATGTTCCAACCGTGCAACATTAAGGGAAAAACTTAGTGCGTGCGACAAGGTCTTCAAAACCACCACGAGAAAGAACCAGCGCTGCAGATAATCCCAGCGATGAAAAGCTCAAAGTTACACCCAAATTCTGTTTTCGTCTATGTCATACTGAAGTATATAGATGCTGCAGGGTAGCGCTGGTTGTTGACAGATGTACTAGATCCACTTTGGATAGTTTGCTGGACCGGTCGTGAATGGAAATTATGACTTAGAACAGGACCACGCTCGATTCAAACTGACTTGAAAATCGGGTGTGCTTGTATCATATCATGTGTGCGCAAAACTTCCTCCCCGTTCGAGCTTATGCCTCGGAATGGGTGGACATGACAGACACAAATGGCAGGATGGGCACAATGCAGGAAGAGAGAGTTTTCAAGACCCTCACTCCCATTCGGAGCTAGTCCGGGATCCAAATTATCCATGGAGTGAGGCGCACCTCTGACACCATTCTAAAACTTGGAGCGATGAGACAATGAAAGGGGAAGAAAAGGAATTGCACGGACATGGACTCCGAGAACGAAATATTAATTCCGCTTACCTACGAAGAGCCCTCAGGGAGAGAAACAACCCAAACCCAGGAGAGAAAGCTTTGGCATTCGGACACCATGTCCGGAATTCAAGATTCAGCAAAGGAAGCGCGTATTCGCGGCATTCGAATTCATTCAAGCACCCTCTATCTAAAATTGGATAATGCACGTACTACCTCCGGTGACGGTCTCCTGAGCCTCGCAGACGATTCCTCTCGAGGCAGGAGCGGAGCGCACGACAGCAGCCGAGCGAGAAGTCCTTCCGCTGACGCTGACTCTCAAACCCCTGCACACGGGAAGGGCAGCCCTACCGAGAACCTGCGAGTGGCCGACTCTCAAGGGAGACGCTGCGGCCACTACCGAACTACACACTCCGCCTTGATGCAGAGGCCTACACGCCATCGCTCCCGCTGCAGCTGCTGCCACTCCCAACTCCAGCACCGCCGCCATGGCAAGCACAATGCCCGCCCGCTCCGCCTCGCTACTGCTGCTGCCGCTGCTGCTGCTGCGCCTCCTGTTCCCACCTACGGACCTCGCCTCCCGTGCCCGAGAGTTCCCTAAATCTCTACAACCAAAATCTCGCTCTTCCTCGACGAAGAAACCTCGTGGTCGTCTTGCAGCAGCGCGCAGCAGATTCTCTCGGCCCCTCTCGGCGCTCGAGCGTTCTTTTGATCTTTGCAGCTCGACGCTTTCTCCACCAAGCAACAGCCGCAAGCGCTCGTGCTGCAAATTAAAACCGTGGCCCGAGCGTCTGGCCCTCTGGAGCAGATGATGCCGATGAGGGGTCGCACCCAACCACAGCCTGCGCCCTTCCTCCCTCTCCCCCGGTCCCCTTCCCCGTTCCCCTTCCACTCCCGTGGCCTACCCAAGCCCGGCCCCTGCTCGTCCCGGAGCCCGATCCCGAGCCCGGGCCCGGGCCCGAAGCCCGGCTCGATCCCGTGCCTGTGGCTGCCTTCCTGGTCCAGCAGACGAGTCTGTGGCTCTGGTGCCTTGGGGATTGCCGCGAGCGCAGCCGCTCGATCCACCTTATCCGACGCACGGCATCACTCCTGGTCCACGCTACGATGCGTCGTGTGGATAGCGTTGAAGCGATGCGCCTGGGCCAAACTTCCACTTTTACGGTCACGGCGTATAGAACTCCCGTATACATTCCGTCTCGTATTACCGGCAGAGATTTACGGCATTTTCTCCAGAACATTCCCCACCAACGGACGGAACTCGTCCGCGCTGCGGTTTTTTGCCGTCGAGGAGAGAGAACGGCGGATTGGTGGGTGGAATTCGTTCAAATTTCATGCGGCTGCTGCGCGGGGGAGAGTTTAGCGGAGCTCGCCCGCGGGTGCGGATGGATGTGCTTAGCTTAGCTGCTGGCACGTCATGGGTCGAGAAGAACGCGAGGTTTGTCTGGAGCACACGTGGCGGGGCCGTGGCAGTCCATGTCACCTGACAGGACTCTCTGCTCCTGGCTCGACGGGGGTCGACTGTGTTCTTTATCCTGGTCGACCACGCACGGTGAGCGGAGGGCGCTCAGCGCTACCAATAGATTAGTGAAGAGCAGATTTTTGTCCCGGGCCCACCCTCTGGCCCTCGATCGCTAGCATATCGCTTGGGCCGATGGTGTTGGCCCACTGGCCCTGCGCCCATTGGCCTCGTCCGCAGATGTTCTCTTGTCTTGCATGATTCTTCTAATTCTCCGCTCATGGCGAGCAACTAAGCAAGCAGCAAGCCTTCCCGACGTCCTTGGTTTGCATCCCTGCAATTATGGGATCGAAGGATTCTTAATTTTCTCAGATCTTTCGCCTTCCCTTCGTTTCGACATTTCTCCTGTCCAATTTCGGGCGCATCCGGAAATTAAATATGGCTTTGACGGTCTTCTCGCTGTAGGGTGAAGACGATTATGAGCTTTTTCGAGGGCAGAGCATCTCGCCTTGATTTGCATGCTTTACATACACTCGTAAGTAATAGGCCTCGTTCGGACCCGTTTTATAATCGGGGCTGGGCGCCGTGAAAGTGGCAGTCCCGCAATGGCGTACGGTTTGGTTGCCTGCCTAGTGGAAGGGAATCAAAGACTGCGAGGGCAAAACATGCCGGCGAAAAAAAATGATAAGTAATCGGCCTCAGCTGGGCGTATGCCACGGGGCCCTTTTTTTTGGGAGCTACGTACCTTTATGCGGATGCGGCATTCCTTTGGATTGTACCTTTTAGATCTCTACTTTACTCTCGTTATCCGCAGGCTTGCATCTTGTGGCTCTTGAATTGTCTTCAGTTCTCGGCAACAAATATCTTCGTTTCGCCTGTTCGAACTGAGGATGTCAATCGCCGCTGGCTCTGTCCGCATGCTGCTACTTTTCCGCAAACCCGATGATAGACCTGCAGCTCATTCTTTCCCTATATAGAGAGAGACCTCAGCCTTGCCCCTGTTGTCATCCCCTTTTCTTGCGGCCATTCATTCCGCGCAGATTGTGGAAGGTTGAATGTCAACTCAGATGTCTCACTGCGATGGGACCAACTCCCGTAAATCGCAGGGAGACCATCCTCAGACATTGTTTCCACAATGCCGCGGGATTTACACTCCCTCAGCTTGACGCGGCATGAAGGGTTTCGTCAGGCGCGTGAATAAACTTGTTCCTGATTTCCTTGACGTGGGTTAGGATGCTGTGGACATGAAACCAGTGGTCAGGTTCCATCAAACCTCCTGGTTTGACCGCCTGATCTGTGTTCTCGTGTGAGAACACACGAGAGTTTGATGGGAGTAGAACGCTGGAGGGTCACATGCTTTCGATGCATGCATGTGCATGAAACACTATCGGAGCCTTTATTACCCATTTTGTTTCATCCTTGTTCTGCTTGACGGGGTCTTCCAATCCAGATAAAAGGTTTTTGGACGTCATCGTCAACGTGAGGCAAGGCCGATCCGGCCGGGCACCATATACATCGGGAATCTTATTTCCCGATCTTCTCTTTCGTACCGATATCTTGATTCGGCCTATCATGCTCTGCTGTCACAAAGGTCAGCAAAAATAAAACCAGCAAGCACATCGTTGCGCCTGTAAACATACTCTTACTTGCGAGATGCCAACAGTCGGAGAGTTGGAGGAACGAATTTCAATGTTTCAATGCAGTCACCACAGAACCGAGGTACATATTTTCCTAGGTTCGTCCAGGAAGGTTGACTTTTCACTCGTAGAAAGGGTTAATGACAAGAGTCATCAAACAGGAGACTTCGATGAAACAGGACCAAATTCATGATCTTTCCCGTTCCTTACATCAGTCACAATCTAAATAAATTGAACCATGAAATTCTTGGCAGTTTAGTGCGTGTCGTCAATTCTGGCATGATGGGTCCCTTGCAAAAACAGTTCAATTTCAATGCGAGTGAAAATCTTCTTGTTGAGTGGTAGGTCTCGCTGCGTCCTCTACGTCTCTAGTGCTGTAATACTGGGGAGCAAGTTCTGCTAGCCAGAGGGAGTCGATCCTCGTAAGAGACCTTATGTATTGTTGGTTGGTCCTCACTAGTTCGTTGAAAATAACGCAATCAGGTTTCTTGCCAAACAGAACTGATGATGGGTGGATAGCAACAGTTTGGCCACTTGACAAAGCTCTGTAGAAGGGCACAAGATCATCAGAGGCACATATTAGAGACTACTTACAGCAGGTACATGGATAAGCAAACCTATCACAAGATGACTGTACTTTCAAGATGCAGCAGAGGACATTCTCGACCTGATACGTGATATGCATTACTTCAAACTCAAAAACACTGGACCATTTTGAGTGAAGAACAAACCTGTACTTTCCATCTGCTTGTTTATGTGCGGAATTCAGAAAGAATGAAGCAGTAAGACATCGTCGGAAATGTGTGAAGTCATCACCACAGCTAACAAGTTCCAAACCCATACCCTCCACATAGCCACGCACTTGTCTGTAGCGAATAGACCAGAGACCAAGAGTTAGTCAACCAGCATAGACTTGCATTGGTGTTGTGGGTCATCAGGATATGCAAAGCATGCTTCTCATTATAAGATGGATCGAAAGAGCAGAAACCGTACCTCCTTATATCTAAAGCTCGCCTTAAAGAGCGGCCATTAATAAAATTAGTAGAGCACCAACCCCGTAGTTTCTTCTCAAACTTTTTGTGATGAGCTTCACTATCAAGACTTTGACCTCCTTCCACTTCTTGTGTGTAGGCGCGTAGAACATTGATAAGTGTTATATGGTCACCTTCGGGGCTACTAAAGCGTTGCCTTGCAGCATTTGCCTGTAGTGAACAAGGAGCTTGTCAGAAGAAAAAAAAAATAGATGAACTCCTGCTTGTAAAAAATTGGGAACAATTTAGTACACGAGTGCTGGCATGGCGTGACGATCTCACGTTCTTTCAGCCAAATGCAAATCTCAATCGTGGCAATAATCGTCAACGACATGTATTGCATCCTTACACCATTTTCCTGATTCAAGACTATACAAGCTGTACCTCTTTGAACTTTTCGCGTGGAGTAAAAAAAATAGACTCAGCCGATAGCATCGCAACGGTAGTAAGCATTTCTTCAGAGCATTTGAAACTACTCGAAACCAACATAGCCTTCGCATATAAGGGTTCCAAAGGAAACCGAGCCATCTGCACCCCTAGGGGATCTGACAACTTCCCCTCGTCCGTTAAAGCTCCTAGAGTGTATAAATGTTCCAAAGACTTGACAATGGCTGCCCTGGTCACACCATCATACGACACAGCACAATCCGGTGTTAGAATCAAGATAAACGAGCTCTAGCAACCGATGAAGACCATTGGCTTGAAGTTAGGTACGACGCGAGAGAACGTGCGTGCTTGATACCTGCATGTTGCATTCTAAGGCACTTTTCAAAGCGTATGCAGAGTACGTAAGTACATTTGCCTCTCGAGTAGACCTTTACCTCAGACACAATCAACACTTGAAGTAACAGAGAAAACTTACCGAGAGGGTTTGTCCATGAAGTCAAATCCTAACACATCGTCAATTCCTAGAGCTTTGAGCTGCAACATAACACTCGCTAAATTGCATCGCTTGATCTCTGGTACTGTTGCATCCTGAAGTTGGTTGAAAGCTTCCACAGTATACAGGCGAAAGCATTTCCCTGGTCCTTCACGCCCTGCACGACCACTGTTACTCAACTCAATAACCACTCTTTATGTATTTCTCGACAACTAAACAACAATCTGCTGCAGGTGAAAGAAACTGATATAATGAGTGCGACCTTAACAGCCAACAGAACTGCCGTGGCGGATTCCCAACACTAAACTCTAGAACGTCAGACTCTTTCATTTTACTGAAGCTATTTCCAAAACTTTTAGACAGGATGAAAATTCATGTCGTACATGTCCATTCACTTCGCTCCACAAACAAACCATCACAAAGTCGCCAGTTATGGAAGAACCGACTGTTAAATGATTGCGCAGAGACACGAACCAAAATCTTTAATTCCAACTACTTACCTTCGTTGTGCAGCTTGGGCTTTTGATATCGGCACAACAGCTAGAGACTCAACACCAATGCGTGGATTGTAAGCCTTGGCTTTCACCAAACCTGGATCTATCACGTAGCGAATCCCAGGTATAGTGAGGGATGTCTCAGCAATGTTGGTAGCCAGTATCACCTGCATGGATCAATACAATTAACAATCAGTCCCATAAGCTCCCCAGTGCTATGCGTACATCAATTGCAATGAGCAAGTTGTCCGGAATTGATAGGAGAAAGAGAAAGTTTGCCGAAACCACACAGTGCTACTCAGATGTTGTGCTCTGCACCTTGCGATATCCACTCGGAGCTGGTTCAAAAACCCGCATTTGTTGCTCACTCGGAAGGGCAGCATAAATCGGCGCAACCAAAATCTTCCGAGATCCTTCAGGCAAAAATGCAATACGCTCTGTCAGGAGCCGCTCCATATTTTCAATCTCCTCCTGCCCCGTCAAAAAGACCAGAATATCTCCGGGTAACTCTTCTTGATGAACCTGGGCAAAAACAGACTAGTCCGTAAACAGCGGCATTCCTGTGATGCACAATACGCAGGTGAAGATATGACTATGTGATAAAATTTGTACAGATTTTGAACTTCACAAATAAAGTTGTTATAAACTGTAACAATTCAATGGGTCCGAGGACGCACCTGCAGAGTAGTAATTAGGGCAGCATCCAAATAATCAGCTTCGGCTGTGTAGGTGTTCATAATCTGCACCGGGTACTGCCGCCCCTGAACGTAGACAGCTTTGGCACCGTTGAAATACTCACTAAATCCCTGGGCATCTAATGTGGCAGACATGATTATGACTTTGAGGGGTTTCAGTTGCTTGATTTTAGAGTTTCCATTTCTACTATTAGCTTCCATTTGCGACTGAATCTGCGTTTGATGCTCGGATGCCTTCGCAACCGTCTTGTCTTGCTTGTTTTGATCACCGGCTTCAGGATCGGTACCAACTTTCGACACTTCCCGCCTTCTAGCTTGGACACCCTTCAAAAGCCCAAAAAGCACATCCGTATGTATTGTCCTCTCGTGGGCTTCATCAAGGATGATTACAGAGTACTTTTGTAGAAGAGGATCAAGAAGTGCCTCCCTGACACACGCCAAAACACAATACAGCTTTCAAATCATGAAAAAATCGAATCCTGTTGTAGGTTACATTACTATATAGACCCACGCATTGTTGCAGCTCCCAGATTCACAAAGTACCGTACTGAGTGTGAGCCCAAGGTTCAAAAGATATTTACAAAGTCTGCTGGACACCGATCTACTCCTCAAGCCTTCTCTTGAATTTATACGATCTTGCCTACGAATGGGCAAACGTTAAGCTTCGTATCAAATATACACACATGCGTGTCTCAACTGGTAATGCATAAACTTTTGTGAACCGGAATGTACATGAACCGTTCAGATTCCCTACTACAAGTGGTACTTTTTACAATATAGATTAGATGAGAAGACATACCTAAGAAGCATTCCATCTGTCATAAACTTCAGCTTCGTTTGTGAGCTCGTCGCGTCTTCAAACCTGATGGAATACCCAACTTCCTTGCTCAGCTGTACACCCATCTCTTCGGCTACTCGAGTTGCCACAGTGATAGCGGCAACTCGCCTAGGTTGAGTAATGCCCACCATGCTGCCGAATTTGCAATATCCTGCCGCGTGTAGAAACTGAGGCAATTCTGGTTCAATACATTGCAAGCAGTTGGATCAAACATTGCTGTAATTTGCTTCAAGGTGCCTGATGTGGAGAGTAAACCGGCTCTATTTGATTACAATTTCATTGAATATTTCTACGATGTGGAGTATACTTACGTGTAGTTTTACCACTTCCGGTCTCCCCAATAACGATAAGCGTATCGTTCTTCTGCACTTCTTCCACCAGCTTCTTTGAGGCTGAAAGGTAAAACGAGGCGTGAATCTAATATATCAGCCTGCTCTGTGGGAAAGTCAAATTTTAAAAGGATAAAATGCTTCGAAATCTCGACACACGATAACACTACAGACTCAAAAGCATAGCTAGGTCTTTGACAGCTAGAGAAATTTAATAAAAATTTTAAACCACCAACCTGAAGCAATGGGCAAAGAGCGGCGCTGCTCCAGAAGTTCGCTCCTTCTGCACAGGATTATATTGAACTGAGAATTTTGCATTTAACACCATAAAATACAATGAAAGGCCGAAAGGACGAAGACAAACCTTGATGCTTCGCCGTATTTCAAGCGCTTCGGCTCAGGCACCTGGAAAGCCGAACTCGACTTTCTCTTGCCATTTTCCAAGCTCGGAGAGATCGGCATCGATGGCATTAAAACTGAAAGGAGGTCGTCAGGCCGTCCAAGGAGAACAACAACGATCTTAAGAATGAGAATCCAATCGCAGAAGGCTCACACGCGCTGCGGAGGGCTAATTCGTGAGTGACTCCCGAGCCACCACCGCCAGGATTGTTTGCGAGCACTTAGAAGAAAATCAGACGTGCTTCAAAAAGAGAGCATAACAAAGTTCCCCGGACTTTTGTTCGAACAGATGAATTTCGTCAAAAGCGGACGAAAGATGCGAAGCGAGTGGAGTGCGGACAGAGCAGCAACCGCCGGTAGAGTCTCGCCGCTGCTGCATCTCCACCTTGCAAAGGAATCTGTAGCTCTTGCGCGGTGAAATTTTGGCTACTGCAGCGCACTGCTACTGTCCGTAGTTACATGAGTTCTTGGGCCCCATGCCCCGAATGCTTCCCTGTGTTGTAGGAATTTAAAGATCTCCGAGTTCCGAGTTTGGGTACCTGGCGGCTGAACCTTTTCTACAATGTTACGTGCGCATCTCGCGTTCATCATCAGGCGATGCGGCTCCGGGGCTAAGACGCCAAACTCGTTAAGAGGGCTGGAAGGTAGTGAAGAACAGCGACAAATTAACAGAATGCGCGTGCAAGGAATTTCAAGGAGAAGCCCGAATCTAAAGTGGGAAGAGAAGAATTTCAGGGTTGCTATTTCCAAAGTACACTCCGAGTTCATGTAGAAATTATTGCACTTCACCCGAGGCCAGATTTATAATACAAATGGAAGTTTCCGCCATTAGACTTTTATGATCCCAGGTAGCATGGAAATTGTTGAACATGTTCGTCTTCGATGTCGTGCGTTCTGCATAGAGGAGAACCATTTGATGCCAGAAACTATGCCCAAGGGCCAGATCTGAGCTGAGGTACGTAATAGGGATAAAATGTCTACGATGGAAAGTGAAGGCCACTCGTGAAAGGATGGTATTGACGTCTTTGATATATCAAGCGGAAAGCACACCATTTGGGCAAGCTTTGAAGGCAGCTTCACGCTACTATATCTCACCCTTGCATTCGTCCGCTGTTCGGTTATGGCTGAGTATGATCTATGCAATTGATTATTCGCTCTGCATTTTAGCTTGTACAAATTAATATTGGGGAGACAGAGGCGTCATTGTCCGCTTTGGCGTTGTTGGTTCCTCCGCTTTCTTCTTCTGGCTGTAGGTGAACTTTGGCTTGGCTTTGAACCTCTCGTCAAAGCTTAGTCTAAGAATTTGATACTTTTGTGAAATTTTATTTAAAAGATTAGCGGGATTTACTACATCTACTCAACAGACTGCTGCGCAAGCAATTTTGATATGGACCTGAAAATTTTGGGTTATTTAAATAAAAACATGTGTTATAATTAAACTAGAATCATAGAACCAGAAATATGCTCCGCATGGAGAATAACGAATATGGGAGTCACGACAACGTTTTACTAACTTATCTCTTAATGATCTTCCAAACCGACTGTTACTAATGCAACATAGCATTACGGGCAGCCGACCGTGACTGGAAAAAAGTACCTGTACAGATGAATTGTATTGTGTCCACCTGGAAACATTGCTTATATGGAATAGGAAAACTGTGCCTACTTGAGTGATCCTTACTCGAGGATCATCCGAGGCAACGTGACTGAAAGCAAATTATAACGAGCGCTTATGGGGAAAAAAAAATATGGCACTAGCAAGAAAGTAAGAAACTGGAGAAGAAATGTTAAGAGTGGCGGTGAAGATAACCAGAAAAGTATGTTCAAGCTTATTGATGTCTTTAGACACTGAAAGAGATATGGAGTCTATGATCAGTATACTAATGACAGTGTATCATTCCATTCTGCATAAATTCTTGGATATGAGAGGAAACCCGACGGTACTGGATTAGTTGTAATTCATAGATGAAAAAGAAATAAACTACAGAACATCCAAGCCTTGCTTTTACGATTATTACTTCACACTTTCAAGCAACGTTCTACGTTAATAGTGATATGTATTAGGCCATTCTGATATTTTCGGAACAATGAACCCTTATTTAAGAATACTCAAGTTCATATGTTTGTCTCTGAAATCTCGGTTTTTTGGCAAATGTATACCTGCAGAAACACAAATCATAGTCGAATGGTCATATCACCAAACTACCCTAATTCTTAAGTTTGATTCAAAACCAGTTCATTTACTCTCCTTTCTAGGGAGTATGTCACAACATTATATTTATTTTGCCAATCACAGGTCACGACTTCGCGCGCACGCTGATTTTCGATCTGCCGATCGTTCTGAAGCTTGACGTTCAGTTTGAAAGGTATAATACCCGCAAGCGACATCCTGAGTTTACATGGATTGATTATGAGTTTATTGACCTCTCAGCCTCTATATGTTTAAGAATCGAATGCTTGAAGTACCTTCATCTCTCCACAACTTGCTCTACTACATCTTGTTTGCAGTAGTGGTAAAAAAATGTTCATGTTGTTTTAGATAGCACACTTATAAATAGGAATTCGGTCTTCAACTCAGACGTGAAATCTATGAAATAGGTAGTACTTCAAGTAGCCATCTTAGAGGTTAGGCAAGTATTTAATAGTAAGAACTACTTTCAGTGCTTTATCCTTGCACATCGTTGTTACATAAGTAAGCTCGATCCCTGAACTTTTAAAAGTCGAGGAGAATCTCGTTTGGATACAGGTATGAAGGAACTGGGAAAAATTTGGAATGACAACGAGTCTTTTCTGGTTGTTTGAATTAAGATAATAAGTGTCCGTCGCAGATATTGTATTCCCACTACAAAGTCAGCAGATCAGATGCATAGTAACGCTTTTTACAAGGTTTAATACTGAGAAAGTAGCTGTTGTCCAAAGGGGAAAGCTGATGATCACCAATGCTAAACTTACAGCATGAGGAGTCAATCAGGAAAATCCTACCTCACTACAGAAGCCACAAAAATTCACGCCTTCGGTCTTTCAATGACCTTGCTACACAAGTTTGTGTGAGGTCAACACTAAATATAACTTTTGACGGAGGCTGTTTTTGGAACCATAAGCGTGATAACCCAAGTATGACTTCGTTTGCCCGCATGACATCGCCTGGATGTATATGAGCGTAAAATGCTGATCCTCCTTTGTCAGGTTCTCAGTGAATACGATGTTTCTCCAAAACTCCGAGCAATATAAGTTATTGGTGGGGTTTTGGTTCGTTGGCTGGTCTTTGTTTGGTTATCCAAATACAATCACCGAACCAGTATTCTTACATGTCCACAATTTCCTGTAGACACGAAAATTATTTCTCTAGTGTCATCAAGTAGTGACAGTCCACGTGGTTAAGATGTCACAAATGACGAGCACTTGAAGAGAATGATAGTCCCAATACTTTTGCTATGCAGGTACTACAAATTTAGTCTACTGAATTATACTAATCGTACACTCTAAAGAAGAAGTATCCAAGACGGTACAGCTACGTCTTGGTACAATTCCAGGTTGCATAACTGTCTTCGACTAGTCGTTCTTCTGCTCCATAGCTGACAAAGATATGATGGTTCATTATTCCATTTGGCGAGCTAAGGCTTCCCGGTCGTATTTTCCAAACGCATTCTCAGTGGTTTCTGTGAAGGACGTCCCAGCCATCAAAGCGGAGGTGATTCTGCGACAAAACATACTTTGCCACCACATTCTCCTTCTGGGGGCCCATCGGGCTGCTTTGCAGTTCCAGTGTGAAGGTAGAAGTATCATGAACAGCTGCAAGAATAATATGACAAAAAGTGACAGTTTTGCTGGTTGTAATATAGCACATATTTAAGAGGTAAATCTAGTTCAAACGTCGTCCTCTACTAAATGTTGTTTACATTGGTTTACAGTGGTAAAAGAACTGTCATGACGTCGAAAACAGCAAGCTAAAACATTGTTAGTTTTAGCAACATTTTCCTCTAGTTTTGGAGAATGAGGAACCAGAGCTGTTGCCAAACGCAACAGATATGCTTTCAATGATTTGAACATCTTGCGGTACAGATGAACAACCACTCCGTTAGACATCCAACCAACCATCGACGTACTTCTCCAAATTACGAACTTCATTTCTATTTTGTTTCTGTTTTCATTTGATTGAACCTGTTTGTGAATTTACAACACGAAGTTGCAGGAATGCTGTTGTTGAGGTGTTACTAACCTTTTATGACGAAGGTTTGATTGATCCATCTTTTCATTATGTATGATAGCCGAGGCCCATCACCGGAGTGTGAGTCTGATAAAATCAATCTGCATGACGCAGTTGTTTTGTATTGCTCACTACACAAACACCGACACAGAAACCAAACTCAGGTTGATTTAACATATTCAACAAAATAAATCACATAGCTGCTTTTCGATATGCAAGCAGAAAGTAGCGTAAGTCATTGTTTACCTGGCATAACTGATAGCACTATGAGCAAGACACAGGGTTTTCGCAATCACCAGTCCTCGTGAAGTTTGTTGAATGGTATCACTGGACAAGTGAACACAGAAGTGCCATCATTATAAATACTTGTTACAAGAAGGGTGTGAGTTTGTTTCGCAAGATTTGTTAATTCGTTCAGGTCAAGCAACTGCCTCGTCACAGAATCACACATAAGCCACACGACACTTATGATGTGAAAGTATGTCACAGCTTAAGAAGACTGAAATGAAGATCTGTACCATCCCTGGAAGAAATCTAGGAAGTCATCCACGATAAGCGTTGTGGGCAGGGTAATATGCATATGGAAAGCCGCAAAAAACTTCCGAAGCTCCTCGTCATCATGGACATATCTTTTCACAAAGCCTTCTCAAGAATTGTTAGAAACCGCGTCAACAGAAATGGCACCTTTCCAACACAAAAACCATAAAATGACTAACAACTGCTTCAATTCAATTTTCAACTCACATTGGTCTTTACCAGGAGTTATTTTCTCAAACAAATAACAAGAAGAAAAATGTTTACGTTGGACTAAAACATACTTGATTTGAATGCGATCAAGAATCTCGGAAGAAGAGTCCACATCCTGTGCAAGGGTTCTGACAATGTCAACGACCGAGCTTGACAAGATCTAGAACTCTGCAATCCCTCTTCAAGCACTCGGCGTTTCTAAGGCATTGCCTCAATTGACAAAAGTGACCATACATTTATAGCCATGAAATGATTGATAGAGCTTGGTTTGTCTACCTTGCATTAGCAATGGTTCAAGTTGATCAACATGGGAGAAACCAAACACACCTGAGTTAAATAGATGTCACTGTCAAAATTACGTGGTTTGCATATGAAGACTACAAAATTCGAACCCTGCGCAGCAATGTTGTATGCAAGTTGCAGAAGAAGCGATGTCTTGCCGCTACAAAAAAAAGAATAAGATTTCAGAAAGTAATGTCAGTGACATCTTTTATACATCACCAGGGCAGCACAGAAACACACAACGTTTTATAGAAAGACTTGAGTGGAAAAGATTCATTCATCCAAAATCTTATTTTCAAAATGTCACTGGTCTCTAGTGGTGGATAGAGAGTAGGGGATAACCTTCACACACGATTCAAAAGTTATCAAACTCACAGTTTCTTCTACACTCATCAATCGAAGTCACTGCATTCCATTGACGATAATCTTATGGAGAAGTGAACATAGACCTTAAACTAACAGTGGATGCATTCGGAAGTGGAGTCGTCACGCAGATTTAAGGCTTATCAACCACTTACCAACGGTGTGGTCCGGAAAGTAGAGCAGTGTCAGGCCCCAATGAGGGGCGCTCACTTAAAGGGCGGCTCATTAGAAAGTCGAGCACTGACAGCTTGTCACTCTGAGGAGCCTCAACATTTGACAGGCTGACTTGTTGTGCGACACTTTCTCTTCCGTGAACGAAACGTGCTTCGTCCGTCCTCGTTCCCAGGCCCTCCATAATCAGCTACTGATTGGAATTGTGCTGAAATTAGGCCTACTCACGACACGATATCCCTGGCGTCCGCTGCCCACTCTCCGAGGATTTTACATGTTGAAACTATCTTCGCCACAGCTGATCATCCTGGACATTTGCTCCTGGACCACTTCCAGAAGACTTGGCAATCACAGCATACCACAATGGATTTCTGCTCACCATCTTTGACATTGCTGCAGTTGTGCTGCTTGTTGTATACAGCTTTATCTCGCATTTTCGGATCCACCGGTTCGTCCAAACACCGCTACCTTAGTCAATGATCATTTCCAACAATTCCGCCCGTCGCATTTGCAGATTCAAGGGGTGATATAAGTATTGAATTGAGAATGCTTCTTTATACGAGGGTTAAATGTGGGTAGAGTTCTCTCGTAACTTCGCTGCGATTTTCCCAAGAACAAGTTATCAACCGCAAGTCAAATCCGACTCCTGCCCAAAGAAGGGAAGAAGCACGAATATCCACATTGACGAAGGGAAGAATGGGCTAGTTACCCTGTTTCCTCGGTCTATTTCATATCCTCTGTCATTTGCCACGAGTGTGTCGCTCGAATGCCTATGAGATGTCACGGCTCCCCTGTTTCCAACCATCTTAAGTCTCTCAAGTTGCTCCCACTCCCCTTGCAGCACTTGAGGGTGGACCACAGCATTGAGCCCTCGCAGAGACATGTCTACCTGATCAGCCGAGAGATAGAAGGCTTCTTCTTGTTGGGACTTCGGGTAGCAGATGATAGATAAGCTTTAATTTCAAGAGGAAAGGTTTTTAGGTGCAGCCCATCGAGTAAAGAAAATTCTGTCTTTGCGTGAAGAAATGCGGGGTTCTCGTCTTTATTTTTAGAAGTGGAGAGGCAAACATGCGACAGTTCCCTATTTTGTAAATTTTATACTCCATATCCATTAATGCGGTCCAGGATGATATTACTACTCAGTGTGGTCGCCCCTCTTAGCTCGTCGATACCATCAGATATTCGACCTAATCAGCCAAACCGCGAGATCGACATCGAGTGAAGTAAAAATATATGAGTCAAATTATAGGACGAGGTTCTCTGTTGACACTCCAAGGTGCAAAATAAATGTGAATTAAAAATGAGAAGTATTTACAGAAGTTCTGATATATGAAGCCGGTGATGGAGAAATTAGCCAACAAAGTAAGGTCAAAGGGCTGTACTAAAAACGACTGGCAGGCCGGAATTAAAAAAATTAAATGACAAGTGTCTCCTCCATTAGAGGTAGCCACGACCACCATCCCAAGACTGGCCAGTCCAGTAGTCACCGCGATGCTTCATATTTGACGCTGAACAAGTCATCGTAACATAGTTTGGACAGCATGCAGAACGCAGTATATTGGAGCAGAGGCGAATTGGACTTTCTCAGTGGCCCTTTCCTACTCTCCTGTGCGCAGCCTGGCCATCAACACCAACACCAGAGCATTAAAGGTTTGCATCAATTACCTCATCAAGTTCTCATAAAATTGGAACCCTTGGGAGAGAAGGAAGTGGGGAGACACAAATGTCAGGCGCCACGCTGACTGACACGTCTATCTGATACGTCTGTAGCTGCATCGGTGGCTAAATTTAAAAGGAAGGGGCGACAGGTGTTGAGTGCACAGAACATGGTCTCGTGTCAGCCATCTTGAGCTCGGCGAGTGGAATGGGCAGAAGTGAGACGATCCGTTGAGGTGTATTGGGTTTTCTTTATGTGAGGCTTGCGAGTGGAGGCCGGGCGGAGGTGCGATCGAAGATCGATACGAGAGAGGGATTTTGCGGACGAAGAATCATGTGTCTGCCACTCATGGAGCTTTGTGGGGGAGGACCGCCCAGAGGAGGGCCTCATTCTCGTCCCGGAGGGCCTCCCTGGGGCCCTGGAGGATCTTATGACCGTCCAGGAAACCCAGTCGCAGATTGCATCTGTTGCCCTTGCAATCTTCTTTGCTACATTCTTTACGCTTGTCAGGAAATTTCCTACTGTTTCTGCGGTATGTTTAATTGTTGTGGCTACGATCGCTACGAATCTCGGGGAGGCTATCACGATCAACGAGGCCCTCCGCCTGCTTACCAGGATCATCACCATCACCACCGTTACTGATTGCGCACCTCTAGGTAAGAGTCGATGATTGCATGGTGTAGTTTCTGTTATCGCTGTCAACCTAGTCTTCAAGAATTTTGTAAGCGACGTGCTACGGGATTGCCTGTGTCTATTCTCTCTTGAAAAATTTGCGGCCTTTGATTGCCTGCCTGCATGCTGGCTTAGCATCGAATTCGCTTAGGTGAACACGGTCTGGAATGTTTTTCGTGACCGGATGGATTCATGTCCGTCAGTCTTTGAAGCACGGTGAGAAAGCCCTGTTCATATTCAATTCCTAGTTTATATTGTGACGAATTTCGAAGTCTTGATCATTGATGGGTAATGAGCGCTCAGATGCATGGTTTCAGAAGCCAAATCAGGTGTTTTTGTAATTCGAGTAGACTATCGAGATTATGAGTCATCCCTTTCTCTCTGTTCGTCGCTCTGTTTAGGTTCTGGGTATTATTTTTTGGAAAAGAAACATTATTGGCCTTGTCGGATGCTTTTTTCATGCATCTCTGGCTCTGTGTGCATTGGTTGACAAGGAGCAAGTGTGTGATCGTTTAGATATGATTGGCCGTGCTAATTGTCTTCCCAGACCTCGAAGTCGAGGGGCTTTGAATTGTAAATTTTTGTGTTCATGCTTTAGACTGGGATCTGTCGTTGCCATACCTCATTCGGTCAAATTTTGTTTGTACGTTTTAGCAGGACCATTTGTCGGAACGGAAGCACTTGGAAGAAGTTCCAATCTGTACAGAGACGTGAAGACTTGAGAGGAGTCTATCGTTGTTTGGCAAGGGATTGCTGTAAAGTTCAAGCACGACAGGCTCGTGCATGCTCCTGATATAACTTGACATCCCACAGTGTAGACGATTAGGTGCATAGTTGAGAAAAGAGAATGAAGTGATCACTCGTTCGAAACCTGGCTTCAACGATAGGGAGCAACAGGGGGTAGTACATGATCACGTGATCAAGCAAACCCTTTGCATGCAACCAGACTCCAATATTTCTTTGTGAATAAAGTATTCTCTTTTTATGATTCTCGTACATTTTTCTCAGTTTGAGAGAGATGACTGTGTCCGGTTGCATTTTGTTGTGATTGACGAATTCACTGGCTTTACCCGTACTCTCGGCCTCTAAGAAGTATTGACTGTCTGCTGGGTCCGAATTTCGATGCCTTTGCAATACAGCTAGATTACCTCGCTCGAGATTTTCAGTTTCCTAGATCTGATATGGAGAACTATCAGCTGCCTCGTGCAGGCATAAGAAGCTGAGTTGAGAAGAACGCCTAACATGGTAGTTTCTGAACGGACACTTTGCAGATGGAAATATCGTCGCGACACGTGTCGATAATACCAATCCACAAGTGTCTCGAGGATAACGTTCAGGATGCAGGATTTAGGCTCGAATGCAAGTTTCGTTGTGTACTTGAGCCTCCTGTGAAAAGCCGAATCGAGTAGTATCATAATGGTGTTAAGTTGATGATAGTTCTTCACTATCTTTTTGTTCTTTTGATCTGAATGCAAGTAGACGAAGGACTGATTTCGTTGGAACAACATGAAATACAAACAGTCAGAATATACCAAGTCATCAAACGTATACATATTCAGCAGTTTTATACTACAATCTGCGGCCACTAACACATTTTCTTCAAAATTTACCGATGGATATAGTTGTGATCTGTACTCCAAACGTCATTGTCGTTTAATTGTGTTTTGTACTGAAAACACAAAAAAGATCTAGGAGAAGATAACCTGAGAGGCTAGACCCGGCGTTGCCTAATAAATGGATGGAAAGACCTTATAAAAGATAGAAAATGGTAAAGTTAGATTGTATAGCAGGAGCTGTGTGGAGAAGTTACTACCTGAAAATGTAAGTATAGCTGAGGATATTTCATATTCTCATACCCGATATGGTAGCTGGCGCTGATTGATACACACTCTGTTTCTATGTTCACGATAGATTCTGGTTTTCTACAGAGTAATGTAACCAAAACATTTCAAGCTTGATGGTCCCTTGATGGCATTTTTTAACATTTGCCTTCCAGATTCTTTGTTAGTTTCACCCAAGTTTCATGAACGTCCCCTGCACTCAACTACTCCCTGCCAGCATCAGACAGGACTGCACGAGAGTTCTTTCCTTCAAACTTCATTCAACTATATTACAGTACTTCACATGTGCAAAGTACTCGTTTCTAATATGCTGCTAGGCTGCAGATCATGAGGGCACTTTACTGTTCTGGTATTACTTAATTTTAGTCAACGTCCTGCCGCCCATATTAAGGACTTTTACAGTACTGTGTCTTGTTACACTTGAAGACAATCATCCGGAAGGATGTATGCGACGCGCTTGTTACTACCATTCTCTAACCGCTGAGCATATGTGAACATATTACTCTGGTCCCGTGCAGTGGTAAGTGCCGCAAAAAGCTCCCATCATACAAAATACTGCAAGACCGGCCAGATCGAAATAAGTAACAGTAAAGAGTCCTATTGCATTATCGGTGTATACACCTCCGTCACGAAGACTCGCTGCATGAGCATTCCACGGTGACTTTTGGATGATAGAAGAGCTCAAAGAAAGGCGAAGGGGATCTGATTGAGCCTCTTTTCGTAGGTGGACTTTGTTGCCCAAGACACTCTGGATGTGAAAAGTATCAGACAAGTCCAAACATTGACAGTAAAATGAAGTAGGGGCTAGTAGTAAATTTGAAGTTCAAGAGCCAAGCTAGGGTAGGGACAAGCACTTGTAGTGTAAAGAGAATGTCAAGACCAGTTCGTCCCTTCATCAAAGTCCACATTGAAGATTCGAATGTTAATTTCCAGTTATTAGTTCATTTATTTTTTCATTAATTTCGGTTCCGTCTAAAACTGTACAAGACTGGTCTAAGCTTTAGAAGCAGCAGAAACTGTTGATTTATCCTTCAACTTTGGAAAGGGCAGAGGTCGGATAGAATCCGCTTACCCGTTGGTCCAAAAAGATAAGAATTGTGAATAAATGAAGTCCAAATTTTACGTTGAAGTGGACATAAGTAAGCTCTCGATGGTTTCCATCGAGATCCGTCCCATGCAGCCGGCAGAGGAAAGGTAGTCCGAGTGTGGAGAGAAATGGACGAATTGGAAATGTAGTCTCTCTCTTTACGATCTCTCCATTTCTCCAGCTGCAATGCTGACGTCTAATGCGGGTGGTAAAATGTGCGACCTGGGATGGGCAAAGAAATTGCACGGTTCCTGTGAATGGAGTCGGTCTATAGCCTACACAGTAAGTGTATACTGTGGTGCGCTTCATTTTTTAAAACGCAACCATCTACGATACATGACTCGTAAGTTTGACCATTTTGTGTTCAAACTTATGTGAGTCACGAGAAACTCAACGAGTGCACCAAAACCGGCTTAACACATACCATTAACTTTCTAACAAGAAATTGGTCCGAAGTGGATTTGTTTGAAATATCATCTGTCTCTTACGCTACGGTTATCAGTAACTTCATTGTTGAGATTTTGAGATTAAAAAATTATTCCAAAAATTTTTAATAGATTTGTATGATGATAATTTAAAGTATCAGATGTTTTGGCACTTTTCATGAATGTTAGCTTTGATATTTTTGTAGTAGAGTATGCAGGGTAGAGTAATTGCCAAATAATCACAATGACAACAATTGAGATTTACAGTAAATGCAAAGTTGGTTTGAATTTGAATCTAAAGTTTTTTAGTGTTTGCAATTTTAATAAAAAATTGAATTATGGAAATTACTTCAATCCTTATACCAAGTTTGATGAGGATTGGCTACTTTGATTTGGACAAAAGTGTTCGATAAACAATATATCTTGTTTCAAAAAGTTGGTTTCAAATATAGTTGCATCATATTTTAGGAGTATTATATACTATTTTCTTGATTTAAAGTTGGAAATTTGATTTGATTCTAATATTTTCATAAGATCCTATTTAACATGCATTTATTCTGCAATGTCAATATGACTTTGCAGAATTATAAGTTCAAAATCTAAGTTGAAGTAATTGAAATTTTTTAAAAGCTTTGAATTTTGAAAACAATGATTGCATTGGATGAAAATTGAATAAAAAATAAAAAAATTAGTTAAGATATCAAAAGTGTCTTCATCCACATGCTTAGTCAATTTTAGATCAAAATCATGTTCATACGATAAAATAATTCACAAAATTCAGATTTGAATTAGGTGTTATTTTTTGATTTAATTTGAAACCAATAAACTAGAATATTGATGTTGAAAAAGAAGAAAATATTATATATATAAGTTAAAAAAATGGCATGTCATGTTAAATGTTATCATTAATGTCATGATGTTCAAAAACAAATGTTTCATCCATTTGTTTTTGATAGAAAATCAAACTAACAAGTATTTCAGTAATTTCAAATATTTCAGTAAACTTGCTACTTTGAAAACTTTAAATTTAATCTATGTGTATGAAATATATTTTTTATTTTTATTTTTATTTAATACATGCTTATAAATTATAAAATTATTTTACAATACGTATAACTTATTGAAAATCATCATTCATAAAAAATGGTGTGTTTAGATATGTAAATTAAAAAATCATTCAATTTCTCTCCGTCACCAGCTCAAATTCTATCTGCTTATTATTGACATTTTATTTTTTCATAAACTATGTTAATCATCATAATGAAGTATTTTTTGAAATTTCATTATTTTTTTTCAGGTAGACAAGTTTCCGGTGTAGCTTTTTGACTGAGCATGTATGAATCCGTCTGTGTAGCTTTTGGAATTAGCATTGTTTCGTTGGCATGAGTATCATTGCGTTTTGATTTATATTTTGGTTATATGTGAGGCCATTAGTAATAAGAGTTGTCCGACACTGTTCAGCATGCTTGGAGATCCCTTTTTGATCTCGTTCTTTTCAATCATTCAGCACCAAGAGCCTAATTTAGGCCATGGAAAGGGCGGAGGCCGATTCTGGAAAGACGTTGGGCTATGCTTCAAGACACCCATAGAAGCTATTGAAGGCACCTTTAGGTCTCATCCTTCCTTTGAAAAGAACTTCTGAAAGTTCTTTCCCTTTGGCTTTCATTAGCCTCATTGAACTTATCTTCCCATACGCCAGGTACATGCATCGATAAGAAATGTCTACCTACACCTCCCTCTCTGATACCAATTGCAAGTTGACATTCACATTGACAAGTATTACCAAGAAGTCTCCACAGGAGTGACCATCATTTCTATAAAGTTGACAAGTATTACCAAGGAGTCTACACAGCAGCGACCAGCATTCCAAAGAGTTGACACAAGAATTATATGGTTTGTCTGACTTTTTTAAAAGTTTGTGTGATTGATTAAATAAAAAATAAAAAGTAATTTTTTCCTTAGTAAATTAAAAGTTTATAGATAGGTATTTTCAAGAGTTATTTATATTTATGACATTGAAATTACTATTTTTGTTTATAAAAATCAATACATTCATGAACATACGTATTGAGCTATGTGTGTGTGTGTATATATATATATTTATAATTTATTTTACTCTTGGTAATACACATGATAACACTTCTAATGCAAAGACTAGGTAATGGTAAAATCAATGTGGTTTAGCGTACAATTCATTTTTGATTAAGAATTACTGTAGAATTATTTTGATTTTTTTTTAATATAAAAAGTTATGATAAGTATTGACTTTGTAAGATTTATTTACTAATATGTTTTACGGCTTGTTTGCTGAATATATAGAGCCGTTTATGTGGTAATCACAAAAAAATTTCAGCCATACTATCCATATCATAATTATCAACTTCAACTTTGTTTTTGATGCTGCTTGCACTTATCTTTGCAATTTCTGATTTTATTATTTTGTAGATTCAATTTTCAATTTCAAATCAAAATTTGAAACCAGAATTTATTAATTGTATGGAAAAAATTATAATTTGAAGGATGTGATGACAACAAAGATCATGTATAATTTAGTGAAAAAATCATTGTTCTTACAAAAAAGTCAGTTCTAGTTATGTGGACATTTTCAAATGATGAGATCATTAATGAACTTTTTAGTCGATAACAAAAGATGAGAACGATTTGTTTGACTGAAGAGTATATCGAAGCTACTGGTTTCCTGCAAACAAATCTAGAGTCTAGACTTCTTGCTATGTGTACAAAGTTACATAATCTTGTCCATTATCCGTATAGTGTACTCTATCCCCAAACACGTAACTTGAATTTATATTGAGCTTCGTGGACAACTGACAGCTGATCGATATTGCTCGCAATGGATTGGACTGTTATGAAACGAATGAGCGGTGTGAAGTTTTGAACGCAAAGAGAATAACTATCTAATAAGCCTCGACTGGTGAAAATATGTGACAAATTTGGCGTGCTTGGACTCAAGTTTGATAGGATTATATATCCTCGTACCTACGCGTGCGTTTCCGATCCGTTACGATGGCAACGCTAAATATGAGCAATGATTGTAGCTGAAGCTGGACAATGGGACATGTCTCTGCCGGTGATCACTTTCAATGAACTGAAGGAGAAAACAGCGAGGATGACATTGAGCGAAACGCTTGAGATTTTGTATACATTTTGAATTCTTGCTATAGAACGGAGGACCACCCACCTCAGTTCACCAAGTACTTCTGGCGCTCGATTTCATCGAAATGGGAAGTCATGCACATGAAGTCCCGACAGTATCATGCATTCGAGCCATAATAACACGATGAAACTAAAACTCAACATAGGACTGCTTTGAATAGCAATAGAATGAGAAACATATAATCCAGCACATGATATATGCAAAACTGCAAAGACATTAATTATCAAATTTTATAGCACGCCTTAGTGATTTTTTTCAACTGAGTTGGTTAGATTGGGGTATTTATAACATGTACTTATTTCAAAAAATAGTAAAATGAAATTAAAAAAAATATATAAGTGGTATGATGAATTTTCGTAGATTATTTTACAATGTTAGAAGTATTTAATTATATATATATATATATTATATTCTCATACATACAAATAATGCTACGTATACTTGAAGATCTGGACCAAACCATTTGTTAATCTCACGTTATGAAACTCTTGGGCCGAAAGATCATCTCGTAAAACCATAGGACACATCATATGCACTTCCTCGTACTCATGGCAAGCGGAAGAAACTTTGGGTTAGAAGAAACTATGTTCTTTATGGGTTCGAGGAAGAAAATGTCTCTACAAGCGAAGCTATAACTCTCAACGGAAAGGCTGCATTCTACTGCCTGACAGCTGAATAAGATTCTATGCATGATTGTCGCATGATTTGGAAACTGCGTGTAAAAGCTGCTCTCAGAGCTCACAAATCCAGTTCGGGATTCGCTCTGTGCAATGCATGACGGTGCCATGACCGATCCGTACTGACACCTGCTTACACGCAGGTCTAGTTCGGCAGTTGTACCAGCTGAGGAGATGCTCAGAATCCTCAGATGGATGAAAATGTTGTCAAGCTGGATACTGGAAACCCTGTCGGAGAGGAAGTACAGGCTCTCAAGGATGGCTGTTCGTTCTCCCACTCCGGTGACACGCCATGCAATCAGGGACGCCGAGACGGCACATGTGCGGGGCTGCGGAGTACATCTCTCTTCGAAAATCTACTGCCGAGTATTCCCACGGAGACAATTTGTAACCTCACGCCTCCCTTTTGGTTGGATACCAATGTTGTGAAGAAGGAGTGACCTTGATGCGAGTACTCGTCTCGGCAGGAGTTGAAAAATGAAGTCCGCAAGTCTTACAGAACTACTTTACCCAAAGAGAGTGAATGTGGTGAAGGCTGTCTCGTTCGTCCCGTCTTTTCTCGAGGAAGAGGGACGGCTCGTTCTCAGAACCAGAGGGCGACCGCATTGTCACTTCGGCGCCCGAAAGACGAGAGGCTTCGAACAGGACGGTCAGAAACCTTGCACATCCCGGAGGTCGAGAGTTCGGCAAGTTGATACACATCGGGTTCTTTACGCACGACTCCCAGCGCAAAGTGTGCTGCTGGTCCCGACTGCTGCGGTGGAGGGGTCGAGCGGTTGGAAAAGGTCGCAAGGCGTCGATGGGAAGGAAAACGACGAGACAAACAGAACCACTTTTGATTTGGAGGAACAACGCCGGGACGCATTCGCACAGTTTTCGATCCGAGACCTCACGGAACATGGGTGACGACGAAGCAGGTTCTCGAAATCGTACGAGCAAAATCTCGGCGAGGATTCGCAAGATTTCTGCCAATCAGGCAAGAGCAAACACCAACGGCGCCAAGCCCGATCGGGACCCGATGCGCACCGCGGCGCGATCTCGCTGCTCTGCCAGCCTCGAGCGCAATACGAGCTCCCCCACCCAACCCCACCTCCCTCCCTCCATTCCTGTGCTCCAGCGACGATCCGAGCAGCGCGCGAGAGGGGAGAACAGAAATGCCAGAGCCGGCAGTCTCAGTCTCAGTCGAAGGCCGCGACCGCATATCGTGGCCTCAAAAGGCCCCAGGTGGTGGGAATTCGGAGTATGGCGCGGGGAGAGCGCCATCCATCGCTCTTTCCCAAAAGCCGTCGGCATCGGACGGATCGGTTCGAATACTGTGAGCAGTGCCATCCAGCATTACCGATGCGCGGATGCGCGAGAAGGGAGCGTGGGCCGGACCGGACCACCACGCGCCCGGTAGACTTTCCCGATCCGGGGCAGGCCGGGCCGGGCCGGGCCGGGCACGGCGATCAGAAGGAGGCGAGGCCATCGGCAATCGAGCCCAGCCCAGTCCAGACGAGGCGCGGGGCCGAGCGTTCGCATCGCGGCGAATACGATAAGAGAAGTAAACTGCATACGAATCCCACCCCACCACGACCGTATGAATACGGATTGACGGTATCCGACCCTTCATACGCACACCGTTCAAGGTCACCGTTAAACACACAGTTCAATCCTAAATTGAATTGTGTAAATCAGGACTTGTAACAGGTCAAGTATTTATACACATTGATTGAGACGATAAGAGGAAAGGGGCAGCGAGAGAACATTCTCTAAGCATTGTGCATTAAACCTAGATACTATTCGAGGAAAAGCTCGTGTACGGGCGGCTACGAAAAGTGATGCAGGGGCTTGAATTTTAATACGTTGTGGAAATGTACGAGGCGAAACAATAGTGTTGTATTGTAGGAGGATAGGTGAGCAAAGCTTTTTATTTTTGATATTTATAGCGTTTGTACTCCTCGGTTGGATTCTTATAACCTTTACAGAACATAATAATTTTGGTGACTCAAGCATGAACATCCACCCGAGAAGCAGAAACACTCAAAATATAAAAAATTAAAAGCATTGCTCACCAATCCGCACACGCTCCTACCACACTGTTATTTTGCCTCGTTTTATACACGACACGTTAAAATATCAAGTCCGCGGAATCACTTTTTCCAACTACCACGAGTTTTTTTCCTGGAGTATCTACATCTCGAGCACTTGCTCTAGCCTCTTAACGGGTTCCCTCGCTACCTTCCCGGCCTCAGCACCACGCATGTGTCGAACGACGTCATCGGTGCACCCCTTCTCTCATATCGGCTCAATGTGTAAATACCTGATTTACAAACATTGATAGTCGATAATCTTAAAATAGTCTTGATTTTACACACTCTAGTTTAAGACCCGTAGACCTTCAACATACGGTCGTGCTGGCTTTGGTATTTAATGGAAGTAGGGCCGAGTGCGACCGCGGCAGCACGTGAGGTGATGCTCCGATGGCCTCATCCCGTCATGGATCCCCGATCGCGAGTTGTCCGTTGCTTGAACCGGAAGCCAGGCCGGGGTCGGACCGGGGGCGGGCCGGGCAGGGGCAGGGGCAGAGGGGCAGGAAGAGGGAATCTCCCGAGCCAGAGGACGTGATCGGTATCGAGAGCCACTTGTCCTCTAGCCCGGCTGTAATGACTGTGCTCGGCTCCGACCCGGCCCAGGATCGCCGTGGCAGCGGCACCCGAAGTCGACGTGGCAGAAAGACCCCCTCCCCCCCCGGCCCGCGCGCGACTTCGTCGATGCTGCAAATGGCGACGACCTCGTCGCTGCGCCGAGTGAGTGCCTGCCCGCCCCTCGATCCCCTGCGGCGCATCGAGAGTAGCTGTGGGGCCTCTCGTGTGCTAGCAACATTCCAGCGACCGACGACGGGCCGAGCAAGCGACAAGAACGTGGAGGGCTTGAGCCTTGCGCGCACCGAAGCGGAGTGCTTGTGGGGATAGACATCAAGTGGGAATCCAGCAGCCCATGAATGAAAGCCAGCCAGTCAAGCCGCCGTGAGCAGCAGCAGCCCCAGCCCGGATGGAGGCGGGCAAGCACGCGAGAGGAAGAAGTGGCGCCGCGAGCGACGAGCCGCGAGGAAGTGGAAAAGCAGCACGCTCTGCTTTTCAGCAGCAGTAGTCGTCGATGCTGCGATGGCCGTGGCTTCAAACCGGGAATTGGAAACATCTACAGGGCAGCCGTAGTCGCCTTCTCGCTCGGGCGGGTGCGCGGGGTCTGCGCTGCGACAACGCAATTGTCCCGGACCAGCAGCAGCAGCAGTGACTGGATTGGAAGCTGCGAGTGAGCGATCTGCGGAATGAGCCGCTGGGAATGGTGCACGTGCACTGCATCTCTCTCAAGGTGATATGTGTGTGCGTGTGACTGTCGGGCCTTCTTTCGAGCTCCGATTCCTGGGGAATAATCCCGGATCGAGGCAATCCTGACTCGGGGAAGGTTCGGGGACAATACACAATTCTCTCTTGACGACGAAGGAACGGCAGGCAGGCAGGCAAGGCGGGCTTGGTGGCAGCGATCATTCAGCGCTGGAGTGATTCATTGATCAGCAGACGGATCCGATATTGGTCTGTGAGCTCCGGAACTCCTGGGTTGGAGAATTGTGTCCCTGAGAGAGAGAGAAGACAGTGCGCGAAGTTGTTAGAATCAGGTAGGGACGAGCACGCGAGGGAGCTGATGTTTAAATTGTGCTTCGAGCAAGCTTGATGGAAGCCCACTTGCGTCATTCTTTTAGGTGAGTTCTGACCACACCCGTCACCTTCCATAGCTACCATTCCGATCTAGAGGTTGTTGTGGTCAATGAAGCGTCGCAGGCAGAGCCCGGAACTTGACACTAGAGGCTAGAACTAGCGATGGATCGGAGACCTTGGAGGTGCTTTTGGTGTAACTTAGAGCTTTATTTCGGTGTTTGGTCTGTCGGGAGACGACTTTGCAGCCCCTCATAATCCCCTTTCTCTGCTTTCCGAACAAACTCATCAATGTGTACGAACTTGCTTCAAAGAATTTCTTGATCCAGAAATATCGTTTGGGTCTTTATTGTCTTGCCGAGAATTGTCAAGATTGTTCCGTAGTTGGACGGTCTTATCCTCGATGCGTAACTGCTATGGACTTGTGAATCTTTGAGAGTGGTCCTTCGATTCGCCCAAGGGAACTAGGCAGTGGATCTTGGGGCAGTCGGAATGACGAGCCTCACAGGCCCTCGCTTTCAGATTGCTCGTAGAGTTCTCCTCGAGGAAGAGGGCATCCTCCTGAATCCGCACTAGCTGTGTGCGGGTTTCTCAACAGTCTAGTCTACCTCGTAGAGACTTCCCACCTTCTTGGTGACAAAGTTCAGAATTTAAGCAGGTGGACATTCGCGGATGCGTTAGATGGTGCACAGCTTAACATGATCGTGCACCGACACTATGCAATGAGCAATTGAAGACTTCGTCCGTCTTTCATTTTCGTGCAATCTCGTTTACGTCATCAGGTACGCGCATGAAAGTCGTCGCGGTGGAGATTCGAGAGTGGATCCAGCACATTGAAAGTCAACGGAGTGAAAGTGCACGCCAGGATGATAGCTTTTGGTGCCTTGAAAATGTCTAGTGGTCTGAATCAGTGTGGCGGTGAAAAGGTGATATTCTCAGATGGAAACGAAACCATCTGCTGTGCATTGTTGGGCTCTCAGTCCTATTCATCGAGATCGCATTCACATAGCTACAGTCTTGCTGTCAGTCCTACTCACGGAGATCGCATATCGTAGCTTCAATCGTGCATGTACATACATTACTGGCTTCAACCCCGTGGCCGAGTATCAATTGGAGATTTCACCTTGCTCTGTACAGAAATCTTCACCACAATCCACTTTTCTCCCGTGAGTTGTGACGATGGTGTGATGTTGATGATTTCTAATCAGCCTTGGAGTTGCATCTTCTTTCTTGATTTCGTGTTCCCCCACTCAGTAGAAATTCCTCAGATTCTCCGGATTGTCGTTTGTTTTCACCATGTGATCACCACACTTCTTCAGATAGTTTTAATAAAAACTATCTGAAGACTTATCGACTTGTTCGAAAGTTCATGAATTGAATGGGGTAATCACTGCTGTCAGCACATCAACGAGCAGCAGCATGCAACAGCTGGGCTGAAGGTGAAGAAACGCTCAGGTTGCTGTCCAGCTAGACGATATCTCATCTGGAATGGACCGCTACGGTTCCTGGGATCTGTGAAGCAGCCGACTTGTCAGACCTTGGAGGTCGGGTATGAGATCATGGTAGATTTCATTCTGTATCAACTGCTTCTCTCGAATCTGCAAACGGAGAGAGCTCCATGTACAGCCGATTCCCTCGATAGATTCAGTTTTTAGAAAATTGCGCTCTGATTGCCCCTGTTCGTCCTTCCGCAAGGCGAACGTAGTGACGCGTGCTCTGTAACTCATATTTTCTGAAAACGTTACTTTCTTCGCACGTCTTCCTCGACCCTCCGTTCTGCATTCAGATTGACTTCCGACCAACGCTCGGTGTCGCCTGCGCATCGCTCGTTGGTTTCAAATCTCCCTCTGGCGATCGGAGAGGTGTAGCTTCCTTCCCGTTGTCTCGGTTGAGTGGATCGACGAAGAACGAGCATACTCAAAACTGGCCGATCGACTAACGGCTCAGGGCGGAGTTTGTGTTTGTGCCTGAGAGAGAGAGCGCTGGCTAATTGTGCATTTTCTCGCAGTATCGGGATGTGAGTTTGGTCCTCTAATTAGCAGTATTAGTAGCGCGCAGGCCACGGTCAAGAGCACACTGAAGACGCCACCCTAGGAGCACATCCTAGGCGGATTTGGTGTGCACTTGATCAGCTGCCAGCTCCATCCCCTATAAGCCATTCTTTGCTCGTGTGTCTTCTAATTTTGTGGCAGCGACACGAGTTTTTGTGTATCAGTGGCTTTAGATAAGAGTGAGCTGTCTGAGTGAGTGAATATATGTCGAAGGGGTGAAGATGTGAAGTCTCGATTGTAGATCACAATGAGGTCAGGTGTTCCTTAAGCTACACCCCAACTGCGCGGAGGAACTGACATTGTGTGAAATGTGTTTTGTAGATAAAATCAAAACAATCAGAAATCGATTAAGAAGCTGCGGCACGATGTCTACGCTGTGTAGTAGCGATTACTACAGATACAATCCAAGTGATGGAAGATGCGTATCACGACAAACAAACTCTGTTTTCTACTTTGTCACCAGTATAGTGGCCCTTTTAATTCTTACCTCGGTAGTCATGTTCTGCGTCTGCTGTGTGTGTTTGAGAAGGAGACGCTTTCTGGCTGCCAATCAGATGAGAACTGGGCCTACGCTGGGCTTGAATTCTGCCAACGTGACCTTCATTGGTCCCATATCCAACTATCCACGGCACATGGAGGAGGGTAGACTAAGTGAAATTCCCGCAAGTCCACCACCAAAGAAAAATCCGGGAGTAGCCGTGATCATGCCAGGAGAGGCTGAGGCGTCATTTATCGCAGAACCCACAACGCCAGTCGAAACAGCGCCCAATAATAGTTCTCATCCTGATAGATCACAAGAGGAATCTTCAGGGACGATCCTTATTGCACATACAAAAACGTAGGGGTTTCGAAGTTTTTTGTAAAAAATTTGCTATTGGAGTTAGATCATAGGCGTCAAGACATTTAAAGAGAAAGAGATTTGGTCAAACTGTTTAGGCCACAGGCAAGACCGGACACAAGGGATTCTTGTTTCATGAAGGGACTGAAGCTGTCAGAGTCCGTTAGCTCTCATGAAGATCACGGCGCTCTAGCACATGTGGGAGACAGGAAGACCATCTTCTCAACTTTTAGTCGAGAACAGATGCCATGGCTGTAAAAGTCCGAGAAACTTGCCTGTGTGTGCACATATTTCATTACGTACCTTGATTGTGCGAAGCTTGAATTCACCTTCGCCTCCACTTTGTATTATAAACCGTGAAATCTTTACAATCTGTTATATAGTCTTATGATGATTCCATAGTGCAATTCTGCGTCATCAATAGCTTTGCGAATATCCATGTCATACGACGGCTAGCAGTTGCTCTCGAAGATATAGTAATGTCGAGGCAATTGCTCGAAATTGTGTCAGACCTGACAGGTCTCACAAGCCGTGGCACACCAGATCATCATGCTGTCCGGTATAAGATTGGTTTGATTTGTTCTTAGGTCTGCCACCTCGGGTCGACATACTTGTTTGTCCAACAGCATGGTCATGGAGTGTGCTATGGCCCGCGTAGGCTACGTGTGTTCAAGTACCTGGTCGACATGATCCTTATCGAAAAGAGTCGTACTCTTTTTGTTTCTTGGCACAATAATATCAGAGAAAGTACCTGGTCGACATGATCCTTATCGAAAAGAGTCGTACTCTTTTTGTTTCTTGGCACAATAATATCAGAGAAAGTCCACGGTGCTTTTAAAATAGTCACATAGACGCGGTGTGTGCAAGATTTTATTTTAAAAGCACCGTGGACTTTCTCTGATATTATTGTGCCATGTGAAAAGAATGAGGGAGAAGCCAACTTCCCGTGCAGGTAACCAATATACTTTTGACGACTTGGTCACAATCATGTGAAGACTTTATTCAGAGCACTTGACAGAAAAAGTCATTTGCCGCCGACAACTATTATGTTGTCATAGGCTGCGAATGTAAAACTCCTTGCCCTGAGAAGCTCTGACATACGTTACGACCCAGTGAACTTGTATCCTATCCGTAGCAGTTGAAGCAAATGCTTTCAGTTCATTTATAGCAATCCCCCGAGATACAATGCAATGTTCTAGTTACACCAGTATCCAGGAAGTGCATATGGTCGTGCGCTTTTCAGCTTCCTGACTACGCCAGAAGCGAGTGTGCACACAGTCATGAGTGCAATATGAGGATCTTCTACATATATTAACCTTTTCTTCCTTTGGGGCAAATAATTCAATCACGTGCGAAGGAAGACTTTTGGTCAATATAAGCCTTACAAAACTCTTAGGTGGATCTACAATCATGCATTGACGGCTCTTGGTCTCCACACTCCTCTTCTGTATTTCTCTGTATATGACATTATGAGCTTTCTCTGCACAGGGACAACAAATGCACAACTCGTTTCAGGGCACAATTTTTTCAACACATTCGCGCGACATCAAACAGCTTACCAACATGATACTACAGACGTGGGCCCAACAAATCCAACATCAACCAAAAAGATGAAACTAAACATGTGTACAGTTAACAAGAAGAACTTCAAAGAATCATGTAGAGTGTGTCAGAACAGTCACCAATTATTCTCTTATACAAGCTTGGTCTAAATTTTCACCTCCAGGCAATGTTTTGATTGTGCTATTCTGAAGTAAATTTGCACACAGTTTTGTTGGAGAACATCCACTGACGGTCGGAATAGTCCCCCAAAAAATCCCAAAACGACACAGGAACTCAAGTAAAGAAAGAGTTGGAAGAGTGGAAACATGTCCCCTTTACAAACTTGGAAATGGAAAACTCGTAGACGTGCACATAACATAAGGAAAAGTAGCCTGAATTGCGGTGGCACATGCTATAACAGTTGATCCTGAGTATTCGTATGTTTCCTAAAAACTTCTCTATAAGCCAAATAATTTTCGCAGCTTTTGAAGGTGAAAGGGAAGGCGCATTAGATACCAAGAGCGATGGCAAAACCATCAACAAGAGAACAAAGTTAAGGACAACAAGGGCCAAGATAAGCCCAACCTGAAGGCAAAGGGGAACTACAACGTACAAAGTCCTCTCATGGTAAAGCTCTTTCACAGCCCGACCGACGTCTAATACCTCCCCGGTAGATCGTGAGATCTAATAGTCCTGGGGTCTGGAATAAGTATCGCATATTAAATAAATCTTCTTACCTATACCTGTAGCTTACACACCCTGTAGTGTGATAATCATCCGCTCTTTAAAAACTGAAAAAGGCCTCTGATGATAAAAGTCGTTTCACAATTAAAGGAGCAGGTCAACAAAGTTCTGGAATATATTCAATATTGTTTGCAAGGATTGTCTTCACAACTCTAAAAGGTACACACTCACACGAAGGAACTAAACATCTCCTTCCCCATTCTTTATAGCGTAACACATATTGTCATCAGAGCAGCTATAAGAACCAATTTGTAGCTACTGAACTTCAGGAAGTACCCAATCGTGTATGTCAGGATCTTTGCAACCTACTCAGGCATGCGTATCAGACTGTCTTGATTAGGTGAGTTACTTTCCAGTGAATTGTCCAACAATTGACGTGCATTCGACTCTACCGTCACCGTACTGTTCGGCTAACTTCGACTTTACACATTCATGAATCAGATTCCGAGGTTGTACTGAAGCACTACGAAAGAAGGGAGAGCCATAGTTCACAACAGCCAAAATTATCCCAGAAAAACCAGATTTAGATGAAAATTGTTACTATCTCTTCAGCCCTCAGCGTTGATGTAAATTTTGGTGTAGGAATTGAATGCTGACCTGCTGGCAAGGAATGCCAAGTTTTTTTAGCCGGCCAGATCGAAGCTGAAGGAAGTCGGAAAAAGATCCATATTCATTAGCCACTTTCTCGGCATGTGCCTCCACACCTTTTCCAACTGCTTTCAAAAATTCTTGGACTCCAACCTCCGCTGCAAAAAAAATCAGTCTTTTCAGTTCACAAGCTGGAATTTCAATATCAAGCTTCAAAGTTTGATATTCTGCTCAATTGCCAAAAAGACCCTGCAGCAGATCAAAGTACCCACAGACCTGGGATTTGAATTTACTGTTAAATTCGTAACGAGAATGAAAACGCTATGCTTAAACCCCGCTGCCACTCAGTAAAACCCTATGCTCGACAGAGAATTCGAGAAAGCGTCCATATTACAAAGAGCTGTAACTCGCTTGAAGTCCATCAGAACACCTCGTTCACGCAACTAGAGGCTCCTAACCAGCATCAACGATCCAGGACACGCTACTGAACACAACCGGAAATTTCTTCAACTTCTTTAAGATCGGATCCAGTTACTTCGTGCACGAAGGTACCCTCACCTGAAGATCCGACACCGACAGGAGGTGCGGAGGAAGCAGTACTCGCAGACGTCGATAGAAAGCGACACCACAAACGTAAATCACACAATCTCCGTGCCATCCTTCGTCACGAAGAATAACGACTCGAACTTCGAAATGACGTTGTGCTGCTTCAGGTTCACCTTGTCCTCTATGTCGAATCTTTGACGATTTGCCACCTTAGGGCTGGTGCTACTTGCTGTCCCCGGTGCTTCAACACAGCGTCCTGACAGTGTTCCCCAGCATCCTCGTGTTACTAGAACATAGGATGCCCGTGCGATGTAGCGATAATGGAGGAAGGCAAGAGGTTAGTTTCAAAACCAGAGATGAAAATCAGGAGCTGGAAAAGAATGAGAGAAAGTCTCAGAGAAGAAAAGTTAGGTAATGTCAGGAGAAGCAGAAATTTACAACATGCAAACAAAGAGGTGAAGGTTGCTTATGTTCCTGTAGTAATGAACAAGTCACTAACTCACATTTTTCTTGGATTTAGTTGCACTATGTACTTGTTTAATTGGTAAGTTTTTTTATTGAATCTTTCTTTTGATGCCGGACTAGAAGCAGAGCAATAATCTGGTATGTGGTATCTAGTTGATTCCTTCGAGGGACCATAGCCTAATTTATGGTATTCTCCGATGTTAAATCTGTATAGTACGATCTTATGGAGGACTTATCGGATCTGATCGAGTACCTAAAGGCGTGAAATGGATACCCAAAAACGATAGCAATGTGACATCAAGCGTTTCAAGAAATCTAGTGTCTATAACTCTAAATTGTGATATGAAAAGTATCTACCAGAACATCTAAGATATTTGAATTTTCTAGATTAAATGAGGACAATGAGCATATGATGAAATCTCACCTAGCATGATTGCTCTCTGTTTGTATAACGTTGGCCGAGTGTCCTATAGAGCAATGAAAACTGTTTCTTCATATAGGTTGCAAAATAAACTAACAAAAGATAAATCCAGCTTGATACGTACGATAAGCTCTTGCTTAGTATCTATACATGTCGAAATCCACATACATAGCTTCACACAACTTTAATGCTAGAAAACTGAATACATGATGTATATCTATGTACATATACTTTAAAAGCTTGACTAACTTTATTATGTGACATGAACATTGCTGCCACAAACTATCTCAATATCTAGCTGTAGAGCAATTAATACAAAGTATCAAGGAGATCTTTGATGATTTGTATGAAACTTCTTCCCCGATTACATTTCTTATCATCCTTCATTCCACTTATTCTTACTGCTAAATTCAGCCCTCAAAGTTTGTGGCATACAATCATTGTAAATTCCATTCTTGTCTAAAATTCATAAGAAACTTGCACTATGTCATATATATGTTTTTCAAACAGATTTCTCATAATGTAGACAACTTGATCTCTTGTAACAAATTAAAAACCATTTTATGTAGTTTGAGACAATGTGTACAATTCGTAGAAATAAATCTTAAATAATTTTGTTTACAATAAAGCAATGTGTTAATTTCATGTACACATTGCTTTATAATAAATATCTATACAAACTATATATATGTTGTACATTCCATATAGTAAACGTATAACATTACCTTTAATTTCCTTTAATTATTGCAAATTTCAAAAGATTATGCTTTATAACATAATATTTATTAGATAAGAAAAAAATTACTCAAAAAATTTGCAAAATAAATGAAGAAATATTATAATTTTTTATTTTTTTTTTGAATTGTCACACAAAAAGTTGAATCATTTACTTTTGAGGTAGTGTGTACTTCATTTTGTTGAAGTTTCGAATTCATCTGTATTTTCAAAATATTTCTCTATCTATCTGACATAGATTTTAGAAATTTTAAAATGTCTTCAAATTGTGAAAAATCTCATTTTTAATATTTATATTTAAAAATTATATATTATTTAACATAAAATAAATGTAAAAAATTTATCATTTGATTCAATTCTTTTTGGTTGAAATTTTTTTGTTTTATTCTATTTAGTAATAAATATTGACATGTTATGAATTTTATCAAAATGTATGATCATAATTTTTTTATAAATGAAATAAAAAATAAATCAAAAATGAAAATTCTATATATTTGAAAATACCACTCATAGCATAAAAAATATTGAAAACCAAATTTAAAACATATTATAATAATATTAATGATAATTTTATTTCCATTTATAAAAATTAACAATGATGATAATTTTTTTATTCATTAAAGCAAAAGCACAATTAAATATCAAAAATTAAAAATAATTTGAATCAGAAAATAATAGGAAAAAAAATCAAGTTTTGGGTTTGCATTGGTTTTTATAATAACATTCCATCACATTTAATATTTAAATAGTTCCAAAAGTGATCAGATGAAATCACTCAATAGATTCATTCATAACCTCACGTAAATTAGAATTGAATTAGATAAATTTTAAAAATTGAATATTTTTTGAATCAAACTTTATTTTTTATCACATAGTTTTTGGATTTTTAATATCATATTAATTTTTCAATGCGGATACAAAACATGTTGTTGATTGTCATACTCTTTATTTATGAAATATAAATCCTTTTCCTGAAATCTCATTGCTATATCAAAAAACTTAAAAACGACTTGTCATCAAAGTCATATGATAAGATTACGCTAAAAAGCTTATCTTTTATTCATGATGAGTAGTTTTGATCTTACCGTAAGTTGTGTTATATGTAATTGAAACGTTTATTTTTCACATGATTTTCTTACTGAAAACATAAATGCACCTGAGAGTAACATATCAAAATTTTAATCATGTCAGACTTACTATATAAAATATCATTAAAACATCACATTTCTAGTTAAAACATGAAGAGCTGATTTTGTGTTACAAGTAATAAATCAGTCATGCTATTTTCAATATACGGTCATATAACATTTACATGAAAGCAATGAAGTATGAATATGTAAATCAAATTATACTCTTAGTCTTTTGAAAAAATAATTTTTGCAAGCCAAAAAAATTTTGATGTTTGATTGGGACTAAAATTAAAAATCTTTGTTTTAAGTTTATAAGCAAGAACATAAACAAATGCTTGTAATATAAAAATGATCAATTATGTCAAAAAATTTTGAGCTTATTTAAATCATCAATTCATAATTTAAATTAGAAATTTCATTCAATTTTTAGATTTAAAATAAAATAAAATCATTAAGGCATATAAAAAAACATATACAACCGCTTGAAGTTAGAATTGATCAAATCTATTAAAAAAACAGTATTATGTGAATCATCAATTCATTGAAGTGAATTAAAAAAAAAACTTCAATTTGTAGATCATAAAAAAAATTTAAAGAATTAATTTGATAAAGTAAATATTTTTGAGATATTTTTAAGATTACACCTAAGTATCAAAACTTAAAATTAAAGTTTCATGCATACATTTCAATTATTTATGATTATTATCAAAAATTTGAAATATTACTAAGTATAAATGGCAAAAATATAAATTATTTCACATACAAATTTGTTCATCTACGACGACTAGAAAGAATTCTAAGAACAAGCCTTAGTATAGTCATATTTCATTTGCAACCTTTGATATGTAAGAAAGTGGATGAGTTTGACAAATGTACTCTTCAGTTTTAGGTTTCCTCGCAAATAACTTTCAAACATGTTGTATGTCTCATTAAAACTTATGAGATTCAATATGAAAGATTCTTTAACAAAGATCTAAAATCACATCAATGCATTTGATGATATTGTTAGTGAACTACAGAATCTTGGAGAAAAGATTGATGATGAGTGAAAAATCTTTCATCTTTTAAGTTCATTGAGCTTTTATCTTATAGCTACGTGTCTTGCTCCATCGTGATAGTCAAAGTATTTACAACAAGATTGTGAGTGTTCTGTTGATTAGTGACTTAGAGAAAAAATAATGTTGTCATCTCATTTATTTTCTTCTTTTGATACGATATGAAATGTGGCTCAAGGTTTGTCAAGCATCATGAATAAGTTTTTGATATTGGAACTCAAAGTTTCGAAGAATTTCTTGAATTTGTACATGTGACTTGTGAGAATTCTACACATTTTGAGTAGTTTTACAGTGTATCATTTATTGATGATTATCTAAGATTTGTATGGATTCATTTTTTCACACACAATTCTCAGATGCTTATAATTGTCAAGAGTTGAGAAGCGGAAGTTGAGACTTAGATTGGACACAAAATGAGATTTTTATGTATATATAATGACGGAAAGTATATTTTAAAGGATTTTTGAAGTTAATGCAATAAGAAGTAGATTACTTGTCATCTCATCATACTTTATACTTTGCAGTAGAGAAAATGTTGTTTATGATAGATTTAATCAAATAGTGTTAGAGAATTTGCATAGTATGTTGAACCAATTTGGTTTACCATTTGAATTTTAGGTCAAATTGGTTAATATTGTAGTGTATTTGATAATTATCTCTACTTCTTGAAATCAATTTCTTAACCTCGTTTGATCTGAAGCACAAATTGATGGCTGATTATAATTGTTTGAGATTTTTGGATTATAGAAATTATTCTTCCACAAGTAAGAGAATAGTACCAAGTTGGATACTACATTCAAGAAATGTTGTTTTCTTGGATGTGCTAGTGGTGTGAAAAATTATAAACTATGGATATCAATAATCTATAAGATTATTGTTAGAAAATATGTTTTTTTCATGAGCATAAATCATTGAAAGAATCTATGAGTTCTCAAATTATCCGTACTCACAAGTAAACATCTCTATTCACAAATGTTGTTGATGTGGAGATTGATCATTATGTGATTAATGATGTAATACAAGAAAAATCTCTTGTATAGATGTAACAAATTTTTGAATAGCAAGAATTAGAGAAGCAGGTTATTGTTGATGAGCTTTAAAATTTTGCATCAAACAAAGAGTATCAACCAAAATTGTCAACTTATTTATCAAATTGGATAAATAAAACTTGTGCAAGGTATGAAATATGGACTACTTCATCCATTTTTGAAGATTGTGTAATTGATACAAATGAAGGTGATGACATTACGTAAATCTTGGAAAAATAAAAAAATTATTTTTATAAAAAAGTTCAAGTTTCAGTCAACAAGCTAAAGTGAAATACTGCTATGGAGTAGTGGATGTAATTATTGATTGATAACAAAACTTGAGAGCTAGTGAAGCTTCTTACAAATCAAGTTTTGATTGATTGCAAATGGTTATACCAACTGAAAAACAATCAAGATGATGACAAGAAAAAAATCTTTAAAGCCAAGTTGATGGCTAGAAATTTCACAAAAAACAAAGGTCTGAACTACAATGAAA